TTGAGGCGTTAATTGTAAGACCGGCCTCTTTTAATAATTTAAAAACTTGTTCGAGGTCATTAATGTGTTGTTCCAACGTACTACTCGTTATAATTATATCATCTAGATAAATTAAAGTTGATTTTCCTAGGACAGGCTTTAGAACAATGTCCATAGCTCTCTGGAATGTTGATGGGGCCCCACACAACCCAAAGGCATGCGTAAAAATGCATAAGTGCCCGATTTTTGTTATAAACGCGGTTTTATGTATATCTTCGGGTCTCATAGCTATTTGATAGTAGCCAGACGTTAAGTCCAAAGTAGACATATATCTTGTCGATTTGATCTGTCTAATGATCTCGTCTATAACCGGCAAAGGGTAAACTGGAAATTTAGTAATACTATTTAGTTTTCTGTAATCAATAGCAAACCTCCAAGCCCTTTTATCCGAAGGAGGAAACTCGTTCTTTTTCCTACATAGTACGACTGGACTCGCGTACTCACTATTTATGGGCGTTATTATTTTATTCTTTAACATCTCCTGAATATGTTCTTCGATGATTAGTCTTTTTGTTTATCATAACGATACGGTTTAGTCCTACAAGGTTTTTCGGCATTTAATTGAATCTTGTGAGTCACGATTTGGCAGTTTTCCTGGTTTTTCTGAAAACAAATGAGAAAAATTACTCACCACTTGCTGTATTGCTTTACTTTCATGGTCATTCAGATGGCTAAGGTCCAATTCAGGTGTCTCCACAGGTTCCACCACCCTCTGGTCCATCTCCAACACCACGGAACTATCTTGAAAATTTAATTTGGCCCTCGCGGCCCTTAAAAAGTCCATACCTAAAATAAGAGAGTGTTTGCAGGTCTTTCACCACAAAAATTAATACTTTGAGATTTTCCTCTTTTACCTGTAAGTTTAATGATAATTTCCCGATGCAGTGACATGTTTTTCCTTGCGCCGCTATAATTTCCGTATTTCTGGTTTTTAAATAGTCGTATCCTATAAAAATTCTTTTTGAAGAATTTTCACTCATAAAATTTCCTTCTGCTCCTGTATCGATGAGGGCTTCTACTGGTACATCGCCAACCAGGACTTGTATAATTGGTAGCTGTGAGTTTTTTACGATGACCGTATTTAAATGTCTATTTGAGGGTTTTTTTTAAAACTTCCGGGGTCTGGACCCTCCCTTTCACAGGCCCCTCTAGTCGTTTAAAGCTTTCCTTTCAATCTGTGTCTTCTGGGTACGCGGATGCTTATTTTCAAATTTTCTTTTTGGGCCTTGACCTTCGAGTTTCGATGCGTTAGCTTGATAGTTCTTTCCCCCATATGAGCGATTTCCATTTTCTGGTTTCCTCCTTCCTTCGGGTACTTTGAGAATATGTTTTCCCCTCTCGCTTTTTCCGCTATTCTGCGATTTTGAAACTTCACCGCCAATTCGAAAAGTTCCTGCAATGTGCTTGGGTTTCTAATTTCAAAGTAGTCTTGGACAGCGGGTAACAATCTTGGTAATATTATTTCAATAATCTCCGCATCGGGTTTTTTTCCATACAGCATATCCGTTAGCTTGATTTTTCGTAAATAAAGTCCGTCAATTCTGCTGTATCCCGTTGATAGAAACTATATAGTTCGGCTTCCAGCCGTGCGCGATCTTTCACTATGGGGAAGGCCTTTACTAACGATTTTTTGAAATTTTCAAATGTATATGTCGGGCTTCCAAATTCACCTAGTAGAAAATTTTGCCTATATTTTTCCACCATAGCGCGGCCTGTCCTCTTAGTGCTGATGTGGCGATGGCAACTTTTTGTCTTTCAGGCACAGGGTAGAGCTGAAAGTGGTTTTTTCTAGACCTTCTAAAATACCGACACCGAATTTTTTCCGTCGAAATAGACGTTTGGCTTGATTGATGCTCTCAAAGTCTGGACCAGGTATCCAAATCCTTCTAACTGACTTGTCATTTCTTGGTGTTGTCCAGCGGCTTCCATCCAGTTTTCGGCCATTTCAGTTCGATAAGTGTTCGGGCGCCAATATAACGTTGCGCGCCTCCAACTTGCACGCAACCAAGAGGTGACTGTGAAAACTTGTATAAAAGATAGAACCTTGTGAAGGGTTTAAGTCCCTTTTTATTCAACGTAATAAATTACAATTGCGTTCTCTTGACGCTTACAGACTGTGCCAACTTGGCAGTCAAATAAAAATAATAACCTGAAAAGAAAGTAAAGACAAGATTCTAACTACGAGGCTCTCTAAAATAACTAACTCACTCACCGCGTTTTACAATACCGCTGCTAATTCAGCAGACTTGAAGCTCACTGGAACGATTACCACTACTTCCCGCCAAGCACCTAGGCCGCAACGCGGGGTTCTTCAATTCTCGCTAACTACCTCCGCGCTCGTGTAGTAAGAATATCACACCGAACTCGTTTCCTTCTATTTAAATCAGAATACTTCCGCTGATAATTTGAATTCTTGCGCGTTCTACTCAAATTTACATATTCTGGCATTGGCAGTTCCAGGGGAAAGTAAGGCTTGACAGGAAAGATAGTTTAAACTTAAAATAAATGTTAGTTAAAATAAATATAAACCCTACAGCTGAGAGGTAAGGTAGGTATGTAGTTCACGTGTGGTATACGCGATATTCTTTGGTTTTGTTGCGTAGCGTTTTTTCAGCTGTGTTGCCACTATTAAAGTTCCAACCCTCGTATATTACATCCAAAAGGAACCTTTTTTTTAACGTTTTGTGTGTTACCTATGTTAGCTTCCTTTTGTAGTTAAATTAATCACTCATAAAATGGTTGTAAAAGACAAACAAACATTTATTTAAAGATAAATCTTAATAACTTACACGTAACGTATTCGTAAACGTACATAACATAACAAACGTACTTACTGCATCGTACCCTTAAACATTTCAAGCATACATCATCTGAATATCTTTTAAAAATTATAAATAGAACGACATCCAGAAATTAGCTTTTGCCATTTCTCAATAGATATTTTGTCTAATAACAACAAATAATTTACAATCGTGCTTACAACTATATTTATTGAATATCATGTTCTTTGACCGTAAACCACATATACTTGAAAACGGCATATCTTTAGAATTTCCGCGCTGGAGGTAAAACTGCTATTTTCCGTACAGTACTCGCTTTGAACTCGTTGAGTTTGTTAATCAAAAATTCTTTAAAGTTTTACAAAATATGAAATAGATTAAAACAAATCCGAAATTCGGCCGTCCAGATGCCCATGTTAGGGTGGAGGATTTACATTATTCAAAATTTGATGGCTCATGATACTGTCGTTTTTGTCATAGTTCGAGAACCATACATGTATTAATGCAGATTCTTCATTATTTAATTCCTTTAAATATAATACAGGGCGATAATATTTTCAACAACTATTTGCAAGGAGACATGAAAACAGCGCAAAATGCCGCTTCGAAACTAACAGCTTTTCTAGGCTACCGCCGCTTTGGGCTAATAAATTAAATTAACAGTAAATAAAAAAAATCTTATGCAGAACTAAAAATAAATTAAAAAATAATCACTATAAAATGCAAGCAAAATGAATTATTACGGTTAAATACAATTTTAATATTAGAATTAAATGTATAAAAAATTTTTAAGGAGTCAAAAGTGTTTATCACTATGATGTATTATGAAATATAATTGAAATAAAAAATTCCTTTATAGAAATTGTGCTATAATACTCATCTATAATTTTAAAAAGCAGCACAATTTAGAATTTTAAACAAAACTTTCAAAAATTCGTTTTTAAATATTTTAGTATTTTTTACTTATTTACACCAATGAAAAGCATAAAAATTGCAAGAGAAAATTGCTTGTTTGAAATTTTCTATTAGTTCAGATTTAAAATATTATTTTCTAAAAGAAGTAGTTACAAATTTCCTTACAGCATAGGAAAAGCTAAAAAAATATCCAGCCCTGAAAGCATGCAATAGCTTTATAATTATTTGGAACGTTAATTATGCTTGATAAATATGCTAAATTTTTAAAATAAATCTCAATTTCAAAAATAAAAATATGTATAAATTCTAATTTGTGAAATGAGGCGCTACAACCAGCTTTTCCTTGACAATTATACACGCTGCAATAGGCAACCACTGTTAAATTTCTGCAGGTCGTCCCTACTCCTCTGGATGTGATCAAAGTGACAGCCGGGAACGCCTCAGACGAGGGAGAAAACCCATTTCGGTTAGTCTATTTCTTATAAGGTCCATGTTGCTATGCAATAAACGTCACTTCCGCACGGAATTTCCACATCATTTTTCGCCGACGGAATTTGAAGGGACCAGACTCACTCTCCCTTCTGCTGTCAAGTGGAAAGATAATCCTGACTGGTTTTCCGATATCGATCTCGACCGGTGTCCAGACTATACCGCTAGGTTTAGGACGTGCCTAGTCCAGAGCTACTGATAAGATTTTCAGCTCTCGGGATCAAATGAAAATTTTACGCCCTCCAGCGCAGGATTTACGTATAAGCTACACAAACTATATCTTAGAGCTCCCGCTTTCTTGGCGGGCCTCCAAACCCAATCCAAAAATTATATTTGGCACTGACATATAATATTTGGACTTATAAATGGCGCCATATCTCAAATAGCTAAGGTCTTATCAAGTCTAAATCCGTCCCTGACCCCTGTCCTGTTCGCCAAGAACGAAAAACATTTCATTCTAGAATTTCATAAAATGTATTGGGTTCTTCGTTCCTGGATACTTCGTTCGGGGGCAAATGTTCCCGTTTGCTTCCTGTAGCCACGCTACTAAAAATGTCTATACTCTTCATTTACATTATGAAATGTTTAATAATTAACTTTGATTTACCAATTTGATTGTTTAGCCTCTCCATCTTGATTTAATAATTTACGTAAAAGAAACGAATTGTAAGCCTAACAATATGGAGGTCTTAAAGAAATCTGACGAACCAAAGAGGTTAGAATATCCGCTTCTAACCTCCCTGTGACGAACCATGTACTACTACTGATACTTCAACTTGACCGTATCGTAATCGCGAGTTGTTGATTAACTGCACTAGTGAGTGATCTAGTATGTGAATAAATTTAATGAGTCAACTTTAAAAACATTTGGATTTAACAAAATAATGCAAATGACAAAGTTTCATAAGGATAAGCATCACAGTGTTTTTGGCTGCTTTAATGTGCAATACATAATTTTGCAGTATGTCATTCACTTGAATCGGGAACGCGTGTAAGGAAAGGTTGTAGTAGTAAGGGAAACTTCGTACACTGCAAAAGGATAAGTCTAACAGCTTTGCTAAAAAGTGGAAATACAGACTCCTCTTCTAGAAATGCTCATAGAAAATTCAGAAGCACTTAAAGGGTGGCTGACTAGTTGCCTTGGTCGAATGTAAGTGGAATGCAATACACATATTTTTATATAGCTGTATATATTTTTCTTTGCCAATTGTAAAATCCCAGTTTTAGTACTGTTCACGTCGCACTTAAGTTTAATAGTTAAAAATATGAGAGTCCGATAATTAAAGAACTTTTAATTAACATCCGTCGAATTTGTCGGCTTTAAAATTTTCAGTCGTACGTTGCTGTGCATATAAATATTTTATCTTACATAATATAATAAGTAACAAAGAATAGGCAAACGCCGAAAAGTGTATTTAATCTCTATTAATTTTTGAACAAACTAAATGCTTACATAATTTTATGTGCAGTTGGAAAGAATATGATATGTGTATTCTGAAACTTTAATTTCAGAAATTTAAAATTTATTTGCTGTAGGATGTAGAACCACTCATACTTTTCTATAGGAAAATCTGTTTATAGAACAGAGTGGAGGTGTTATGAAAAAAAAAAAAAAAAAAAAAAAATAGAGCATTAATGCTTTCTTCTATAAATAATGATGTAAATAAAAGTTGCCGTGATATTTTGTCGAGCACTTATTATGCCTAAATAGCATCAGTGTAGTATTTTAAAATAGTGTCTTAGTTTTGTTTTAAGTTTTCATTAAATGCTATTAAACTGCAACAGTGTTTTGTCTTCTGTAATTCTGGTTTGGTGTGATTTATTTAATTATGACAAAGCATTTGAGAGCTATCTATTTAAGGGAAGGGAATCTTTCGTGGAGGACTTTCTAAGGGAACTGACTTGTATATACGTTACACATGAGAACTCTCAATTCTGGAGAACTTTGTTAAGCACTTTCCAAAATAGGTTAGTTTCATCAGCCAGAAATCCCACTAGTAATTAAGTGAACATGCCTATTAAATGCTGGCAATTCGTCCTAGGTTTTAAGTGGCTGCATTGCTATATTAATGTTTTAGGTTAGAGTAGACTGAAGGGTACCCCTTGTATTATCGCGAGGTTTTGTTTCATTTATCGCCAAGTTGTTGTTTTATTTATCGCTGAGTTGTTTCATTTATAGTAACCTGAGTAGTTGAATGTTTCGTAAATATACTTTCACCTAGAATTGGGTGCTCCTTTGAGTTTTTAAGTGAAAATATATCAATGTGTACATGGACAAAGTCAAGGGAGTGCGCAGTGCCAAGTTTTTATGTTTTTTTAAGTGTAAATAGGCCGATGTCTACACTACTAAAGTCAAGAGAGTGTGCAATTGCCTAGTCAAAGAATTGCACAAACTCAGTATTCATGTACCGCCAAAAATCACTAATTTTTGCCAAAAGGGTACCAATAAATATACTTTTACAATGTTTTACCCTATATAACAGATTTGAGCCAGTTTCTTCTAAAAAGTCCTTTCTTGAAAGCATCTCTTGCCTTAGAAAGATAGCTTTCACATTGATCGTCAACGCCAGATCTTTCAAAAATTTCAAATTTAAGAGGTGGTTTAAAAAATTTATTAGTTTAATAATTTTTCCACTTGAGCCATTTATAAATTCCATGCTGCCCATCCAAGTACACAGCTAAATTTTAACATATATCTATATCTTTACTAATCTTATTTAGTTTCTACTGATTTAGGAGGATTAGTGTTGAGAAATTTATATTTGAAAATTATTAATTTTATTGACTTTTTTTTTATCAAATTATCTTGTGCTATATGTAAATGGTGACTTATGCAAAAAATATTAGGAATTTTTTGTAGAAATTTATTTGCAGTTTCTGATTTTCTTGCAAATGTTACACTAGTTGTGTCAAATGAAAAGTAGTTAAATGATTTTTCAAACAGTTTTCAGACAATCCACATGAATTTAAGCCATTAAATGTGTACAAACTTATTTATTGGTTGCAATTTGTTAATTTTGGCAACTTTTTAAAAAAAGATCTGTTAAACTGTTTGAAAACTGTTTGAAAAAGGCAACATATTATCAGTATATAAAAAGAAAATAAACTTAGGCAATTTACAATATAAATTTAAATTATTAAAAAAAGATTATATTATATATTAAAAAAGTAAAATAGTTTGTTCTCACAATATGCACAGTGGTCTTTATTTACTAAAGAAAATTAGAATTGTGCAACTTCAACATTTCATATTTACATTTTTTGAGAAATCCTGTAATTTTTTAGTGCTGTTTTTCTTTCCATATACACAACCGCCTGGTTAAAAAAAAAAAAAAAAGAGAGAGAGAGAAAGAAACAGCAGTAACTCAGCATTTCAATATTGTGCACAACTATTACATTAACTTAATGTGTAATGGCATGATCAGAAAAATGAAAGTAAGAACCAGAATAAAATAATTGTTTAATAATGAAATTGCTGACCGAGTTTTTCAGTTTATTTTTTAATCTTTGTAATCAGGAAGACTTACTAAGAGCAAATCTTTATTCAAAGCAATAGAATACATATCTGAACAACTTCCAATCCTCAAAAAGAATCAAAAGTAAAAACTTTCAGATATGATATTTTTGTAATATACTATGTTTTTGATTTTGGTTGAAATCATTTATTGCAAAAGGAATTTCTTTAACCTAATGCTTGTAACTTGCCACAGGTATACCAGTTTTCAGAAATGTAGAATTAAGCAATCAGCAGATGTAGGCATTAATGTATATATATTTATTTAATTGTATAATTAATTGATATAAGTTGTGCATGAATTATCTAAAGTATATCAACACAGAAATGAGAGGAAACTTTCTCACTGCGACATATATCAATAGCTTGATAGTCAGGCAGCAAAAGCTCAGTCAGTTTATTGAAATTTAAGAGACTTTAAAATCTCTAAAGGAAGTGGAGCTTTAAATAAAAAATTTTGTGTCATCTATTTTAAAAATTTACAAGCTAGTAATATCTAATAAAAATAAATACTCTTGGTATTGTGGAATTATACTTCTCTTGGGAAGCTTAATAAATAAGAACTGCATATCTTTTTAAGTTTCATTTTGGAACTTAAGATGTTATTTCAAGGGAGTGAAGCTGTGTTGTCCAAATTAAGACAACAATCTTGCATATTGTATTTATTTAAAGGTAATGTATATAATATAGATCTGAGTATAAGTTAGAAAATTATTTAAAAAATATCTGTTATATTGAATTGGAAGATAAATATGGTAATGTAAAATTTACAATTAGGCCAAAAATCAGCCTTAGATTAGCAGAAATTTTGAATAAATCTATCGATTTCAAGGGCAATCAAAACATGAGTTCTTTAGCAGCAGGAAAAATAGAATTGCCATACATGTTTAAAAGTATGTCATCGTAGGGTTATATTTGTCTAACTTTAAATAGCTGTTATCATAGTTATTTTAGAAGCAGTGGTAGAATTCTCTCAGTTAGTATGCAGATAAAGAAATAATTATAAATAAATGTGTATTTAAGAAAAAGGGGGGAGGAACTTGGCAAGTTTTAGAAAAACAGAACTATAGGTTGAAAGAGTAGCACATTTTATCTATTATTTTAAAATTGAGTAAGTATTAACTTTTTAAATGTTCAGTGTAAAATGCGTACAGCAGTAACATCATCTGTTCCAAATAATAGCTATCTTTCATACACAGTTCATTTTAAATACTGGATCTTCAAATTAAAAATGCGAATTTTTGTTTTGCGAATTGCATCTCCACGATCAGTGTCAATGTGACTACATCATCACTTTTCACTTCCTGTTTCGGGAGGAAAAGCTCTTTAAGGTAGCCCTTCTCTTCCAAGTCCTGTAATTGAAATATTCCATTTATTTAGCATATGTTATGCAGAAAGTGTGTATCACATTATTAAACAGTACAAATAAGGGAGGATATCTGCCTTCCTGTTATTTAGAGTTAATTGTTGGCCAATGGTTATATTCTGTTTCAGGGGTAGATAGATGTGAAATTAGTTTCTAAAAAGAATGGAGTGAATTAATGCCTGAAAAATTAGATCTTATGTTATAATGGTATTGTTATTTTGGTATTGTATGGGCTTTTTCGATGTTTAATTAAATAATCCAATCCAGTATCGTTGTTGGCCAATGAGAAGTTCAACTACCGGTCAAATCTAATTCAGCATTAAAAACATGTACACTGCAAATAATAATAAAAAGAAGGGACAGCTTCATATCTTCTGTTTTACTGGGCCAATTGACGAAATTCAAATTGCGCTTTTCATGTCTCGAAAGTGCGACTTGGGATATGTATTAAGATTTATATATAGCATTTTTCCAATGTAGATATTTTGACACAAAATTATACTTTTTCTTAAATGACATACCAATTTGTTTCCATATTTCTATTCTCTAATTCAAATTATGCCTAAATATTAAATTTTGTAAAATTTGGTGCAAAATTTATGGAGAAATTAAAAAATTTACCTTGGCGCATTTTTTTTTTTTTTTTTTTTTTTTTTCAGTTTACGTAAAGATTAATTTACTTGGCAAACTTCTTAATTTATAGCAACTTATTTTCATTTCCTTTTTTTCATTGTAAACGAGCAGAAAAAGTCATCGTTCATGCTTTCAAATAATTTTAACAAAGTGTGTAAACCAAATTTGGCAATATTATTACTTATAACAAATATACCAAATTTCAAAACGTGTCAATATATAAATTCAGGTATATTTTAGAAAATTTTAAATGCAAAACTAATTTTTTAAAAGTGTGCCTAGAAATACATCTACTTTAAGATGGTGTTAAAAATTTTGTATAATTCAAAATTTTTTAGAAAAATTTATAAAAATTTACAAGTACAAATTTTAAAAATAAATCATAAAAAAGGGGTGAATTTCATTTTGAATTAACCTAAATTTCTATATCTGAAAGGAAGAACCAAATAAGTTTAATAAAAAAAAAAGATATTAACAAATATATACCAAATTCTATAACCATTGAGGAGCTAAAATTTTGAGAGTAATTTTTTTAAAAACTGCTTGTATATGATTTTTTACAAAACTCGGCAGTTTCGCATAATTTGACTCGTAGAATCGTAAGATGGAAAAAATCGGGATGTCGCTTCAGAAAAAGGCCAATTTTGTGTCAAAATACCTATGTTAGAAAAATACTATGTATAAATCTAATACATATCCTAAATCGTGCTTTCAAGACATGGAAAACACGAGTTGAATTTCATCAACTGGCATAGTAGAATGGGAGATATAGATCTGTCCCCTTTTCTTTTTTTCTTTGCTCAGTGATGACGTTTCCTTTAGGATTTTGTATTGTTGTTACATGTTATGCCCCTGTTATTATAAAAGACATAAGATTTTTTACTATAAAACTTTTATATAACCTTGCAAATGACCTTTACATGTGATATATATGATCTTTATGTTTCAAATTATGACTGGAATTGCTTAACAAATGAAATGATTTAAAAACAATAAACTACAATAATTGTATTTATTGAATTATATTTTTATTTTGTAAAATCATGATACATTTAACTGATATAATTATAGCATATCCAACTGATAATTTTTTTTAGCTTTTGTTATAAATTTAATAATTAGTAAAACAATTTCTTTTATCGTACATTATATATCTGACAGAGCATAATGCATTTTTTAATCTTCCTAATCTCTTCTCTGTCATTCATAATACATCTAATTTATATAATATATATATATAAGTTAATTTTCATAACCATTTGCATCATTAGTATTATATGGGATATTAATTTATTTGCTTATCTTAAAGGTGTGACGCTGACCCTGCTGCTTTGGCAAAATACGTTCTTGCACTTGTGAAGAAGGATAAATCAGAAAATGAGTTAAGAGAGCTTTGTGTAGACCAACTAGATGTTTTCCTATTAAAAGGTAAATATTTTCAATAACTTTCATTTAAACATCAAAATTAATTTTAAAATTCAGTATAAAAATAATTTTTGTATTCACTGAACTACTGACAGGTTCATACAGTCCTTAGGTTTTTGGAAACAATATTTGGTCTTTAAAAGTCCTTGATTTTGATCAAAATTGGCAGAAATTCCTTAACTTAAATCATCTGAAATTTTTTTTAACAGCTGCTTTGGTAGTGTGAATTAGCATTTTGAGAAAAGTTTTTTGGCAATTCACTGACAAATATTTATTTGATGAGTTATCATTTAATCTGTTCCTGCTTTTAATATAAAAAGTGTAATACTTGAGTTTCTGGACAAGAAGTGAAACATAAACATTTTGAAATAATTTCTTATTTTCTAATGAAGAGCTCATAAACAACATTTCCCATTTGGGGATGTAAATCACATGTGGAATGGTTTAAAAATAAAGCTAAAATTTTTAGAACAGTTTTGTAGGTTACATGGATGATATAGTTATACTGGATTCTCTGAATTAAAGACATTTAAAAAACAATAATTTATTTGATGTTTGACGCCGAATAATAAAAAGAAAAGAACCCGCAATCATTGCTCAGAACAGTTACCATTATCAAAATAAAGTAATTTATAGCATTTACAGGTATGCTTTCTTTTTGTTCCATTCAATGTGAAATACCCTGCAAGATTAGCAAACAGTTAATTTTAATGAAAGTGATTCTGAGTATCAAAATTGAGAGGTTACAGGATGTTATAGTTTGCAAATGAACAAAAATTGAAAGTATAATCATTTATTAGCTGAATGATTCAGGCTTACCAAATAGTGAAGATCATGAATGTTTAGAAATAACTGTGAGCTATGAGGCAATTGAATTGAGAAAAAGACTGTTGCTGATCAATTTCTGTACATTAAACTGTATTTCCATTTTGGTCTCTCATGAAAGAATATCCTCTGTGATCAAAATTTTTTTAAATCGGTAAGATGATAATTGTTGTTATTGTCCTGTATGGCTCCTGAGATATTTCAGTGATTAGTGTGAAATAAATTTTATATGGCATATTTTTGTTATGATAACCGCTGCTTATCTCAGTTGGTGTTTGGCCCTAACAAGTTAAGTAATCAAAATTTCTATTGTATTTTATTATTCCACATTTTCTAAATTCTCATGTTGGCTTTTCTTGAGCTATAGTTATACTTTACTTAGCTTTTATTTAATCTGTTTCAGTTTGATCTAATCTTTTTTTGACAAATTTTGCATTCCAATTTTTTTTTTATATTTTCTTTATTAATTTGATAATTATTGTAATTTAATATTTGGTACTGTAACGGGATGCGAGTTCTAACTGTGCATCCAAGTACCAAATTTCGTAAACTTTTTATTTCACTTCATGAATAGCTGTGCAGTGACATTAGTGTGAATAAGGAAGAATAGACATAGATCTTATTAATTTTCTCTCCGAAACTTTCAATTTCATTTTTGTTAAAGTCTTTTAAAGGGAGGTAGAGGAGAAAAAAATTAATGTGGATAATACAAATTTGGCAATTGCTGACTGATGCACAGTCAGATTAAATATATCATAGACAGATGACAAACAGATTATCCATGCTGAAAGACTGAGAAACCACTAAATTCAGTTGTATTTTATTGTTATTAAAGTACCAAAATGGTGCTTTAGTAGAAGGTGAAGAATGGTTTACAGAGTGGATGCTGTTTTAAATGTTTGTACATGCCTTTTCTGACCACTATTCTGTTAATTATTTCTAGTCTATCTCTAGTACAGGGGTTCCCAACCCTATGCCCGTGGGCACCATGTCGCCTGCTGATTATTTAATGTGTGTCTGCTGCTGTGCGATCACAATAAAAATGTTTTAGTTTTCAATAAATTTCTATGTAAAAGATTTCTCATTTTTAATGAAATAGAAATTGTGTCCAACAGCACAAAGCAAAATGCAACTAATCTCTTTTTTTATGTGTTTGTATTATTAACTCTATCCAACTATAAATTCACCTTGAAAAAGTAAATGGTGCCCACCATCCAACAGTTATTCTAGAATGTAGGGACAAAACGTTGGGACCCCTGCTCTAGTGCATTATTTTCAGTAATCTGATACTGGTAGAATTCTGTCAATTTTAACTAAAAATGTGCTATTGTTAAACTGTGAATAAAAACAATTAGACATTTTTATTTGTAAATTTATTTATTTATTTGGATTTAATAAAGTAACTATTAATTTGTAAAGCTGTTTATTTTGTTAAGACTCCCACTCCTATTCTTTAGTTCATTTTTGCACTAACATGTACATTTATTGCCCAATTAACCAAAAAGTATATAATTTTTATTACGATTCAGTCACAATAAAAATTAGATAATTTTTGGGTACCTAAAATGGTTCTGCATGGTTATGTAATTTTATGTTTCAAAATTTTGGAAAATTTATTTTAGTTCATCTGAATATTGTTTAAAAAGCTGTTCTTTCATTTTTATATATGTATGTATTTAAAATTTCTATGTTAGTATTAATTTTTTATTTCTATTTTTAGATACAAAGGTATTTGTTGATCTTCTTTTTGAAACATTGAAATCAAAGTCTTACCTTGCTAAACCTTCAGAGTTATCTGCAAGTGATACAAATATTAATTCTAGTCCTCAATATATTAGTAATTCAAGTCCTCAGTATAATAGTGGAAATTTAAATGAAGCTACCAAAAAATATCGAAATACAGAAAATGAAAGTAAACTAAAAGATATTGTAAGTTTCTGTGTTTTCATATCTAATTTTTATTAGTTCCTTTATATTTGCCAGTTTTTTAATCTATGAGTATGCAAGAATAGTTCTGCATAGAACATTGTTATAAAGAATGTTTTATGTTTTTAATGTAAAAAGAAAATTTTAAATGATTTAAATCTGTTATGTGTGTATATAATCTTAAATAGGTTTAAATTATTTAAATCATTTTCACATGCATTTTTATAAACTTTGGTTTTTCAGCGTGTACTGAAGCTTAAAGAACATGAATGTTATAATTTTTAATGCAATTTGATAGTTATTAGTAATACAAGCGTGTAATATGTTTCTTCTGTCAGATGACTTCACAATAACTGTAAAAACATTGAAATAACTGTAGAGTTTCGTTATGCTGTGCCATTAAAAAATTTTTAAATGTTGCAGTATCTTGATTAGCAGACCTCTTATGGAATTGGACCTTAGCCTACATAAATAAAAGGTTATTTAATCTGCAAAACTTTAGAAAACAGCATTTATATGTTATAAATAAAGATTAAAACGTAATCTGTGATTTTTATAATTTCTTTTTGCCATTAGTTAATTGCACATTCAAATATAAAAGCTGTTGAATTTTATGAAGCTATTATTATTAAATTGTGAAACAAATGAAATTTAAATTGGCTAAAGTGTAAAATAAGGGACATACAAATTTTACAATTTCTGCATTAGATAAAGATTTTACCTTAGAAATTCTACTTTTTCTAGAAATTCTACTTTTTCATTACTTCATAATCATTTTATTATTGCAATGTTATATTTTTGATAACCAAAATTAATGTTCTGTAACAGTAATGTATCATCAGTAATGCAACTATATTATTTAATGTGCATAAAGCTGAGATCATGCATGCCGCTGAGTCTGTACAAATTTCCAATTTTTTTAAGTGTAACTAACTCTTGATGTGCATGGGAAGAATAACAGTAATTGTATCATATAATTTTCAATGTGCACAGTGTCAAGACTGCAAACAGTGCCAAATTCATGCAATTTTATGATTTTTTTTAGTGAAAACAAATTATTGTGTACATAGGGGAAAAAATGAATGTATATAGTACAGTCAAAAGTCTTTAATCCGGACTCGTCGGCACTTCGACGAGTCCGGATTATCGGTTTTTCCAGATTATAGATCATCAGTTTAAATCTGGTAAGATGGCATGCAGAAATTATAAAATTAAAAATATGAAACCGTAATTTATGAAATAAAGAGCAATTATGATCTAAAGGGTATCAAAATTTACAGAAAAGAGCTTAATATTTATTTGTTTACTTTATTAAACATTTCTTTCAACACGCGCATGCGTAAAGCATACATTACGCATAGTCGAAATTAGAAAATTGCAACCAGAAAACTGTTTGATTTGTATTCGTGATATTTATAATGATGAGGAATTTGATTTAAATCATATCAAAGACAGAGTACATCGAGATGAAATACTACATTTAGTAAGGAATTATAAGCCGAATAAAATAAAAACATCTGCCCTGAAGATAAGGATAGCGCTGACAGATCAACTTCCAGTTCATTGTGCGCCGCAACGTCTCCCCCCCAGCACAGCAGTGTGAAATTTATAAACAGATTTCGGAATAGTTAGAGAAACAAAGGATATGCCTTTATCCATTTTTTGCAGCAATTCCACTTTTTGTTTGATGGGCATCAAAACATGCTTTCGCTTTGTAGATCCTTTGGCAGCTCCAGAATCGGAAATTCTTTTTGACATAATCGAAAGTTCAAGTTTACTTTTATAAAATTGCTGTAACAGTCTGCAAAAAATAATAAGCCAGGTCCAATTAGAAGATTAAGGAACAATGCAATCTGGAACATTAACTGAAATAGATAATTAGATAGTTTTAGCTTAGCTTATACTGTCTGTTATACATTAAGCACTCATGCGTAAACGTATTATGCGCATGCGTAGACGCATTATGCATTTACGCATGCGCAGAAAGTTTGTAGCTTTGAGGTCTGGATTATAGATCATTCCAGATTATGGACGTCCGGATTAAAGACTTTTGACTGTATATATAATATTTAATGTGTGCAATGGCAAGATTGCATGATGCCAACTTTATGCAGTTCTTTGATGTATATGGTAAAAACAACAGTAATGTATAATATGTATAGCTTTGATGTTTTTGCAGTGAATACAGGCTGCCTATGTACATGGGAAAAACAACAGTAATATATAATATATATATATGTATATCTCTGATGTTTTTGCAGTGAAAAAAAGACCTCTGTGTGTATGGGGGAGCAATATAATAATATGCATACAAATTTCAGTAATTTTGTACTTAAATAATAATAGCTTAAAAAAAAACCTACTAAACACAATAGTCACATATTTAATAGATTATCAGGTTGTCCTATGTAAGAGCTGGTTAACAATCATTCAGTTGTCTTTTTTGAGTCACAATTTATCATATCTGATAAAAAAAATCAGAACTGTCTTCTGAAAATTTTTTGTCGGCAGTTAAGCTCATCTATCCAAAGACTTTGGAAACTTTGTTTTCGATCTATGCATACTTGTGAATAAATTTTCTTCTTGGTCATATATGACATAAGTAATAGCTGTGAGTTTATCCGGTGAAATTAAAATATGTATTTCAAAGCCCGGAATTTGCTTGATTAGCTAAACATTTGAAAAGCAGTACGCAGGGAGTTTGTTTTTAAACTAGCACTACTCAGAGCCATCTGCAGCTTGTTCAATCAGCTGGAATGCCACCAAATTCGGAAGGGCGCTAATGATGATGATGATTTTGTTGTTATTGTGACTTATCTCACTTGTCTGACAGTAACATGAGAATAAGAATTCTTTCGTGGCAAGGACTGCAAGATTGCACCTGCTGTTGGCAAGATTCTTGAGCACTCTTTATACATGTGGCAGTACGATTTTGCTCAGTTCTGCCCCAATTTTGATGGAGAGCCTGGGGTTGGAGGTGGTTCTGAGGGTCTCCCAACCCTTTTCTCCTACCACCAACCTTTTAAGAGGACTTTTGGTTCACCACATATTTAGAGTTTCTCCATGCTACACAGGTATTGTACATTTACAATTATCCGTGCCTTTTCAGGGATTCGAACCTGGGCACTTCGGTATGGCACTCTGCTTTGCTAACCAATATCCCAGTTGGGTAGCTGATAACATGGGGGGGGGAGAAATTCCTTAAAAGAAGCCAGTAGGGTAAAATATATCACTATTCCTACTCAACACACTTGAGAACTAGACAAATCAATGATTAAGAAGATATTTCAGTGCAATACTGCTTTAATGCAATAAAATGGACTGGCCACAGGTTACAGAATGATTTTTCAGTACATCGCAGCACTTTATTTAGTAAAAGTGCTTCTTAAGCAGGGATATAGACCTCACTGAGGAAGGTGACCTTCATGGCTCATTCTTTGAGTCACAAAAAGGTGACCACCTTTTCATGGATCACACATTGCATCCTTTACACATTCTTGACAGCCAAAAAAAGGTCACATGGGATTAAATCTCAGGAGTGAAGCAACCATGCAAGTGGAAAAAAGTGAGTTATGACTTATTCTGTAAAGTGATGGCACAGCAGCCACTTAACCGATAGTCTAATCTGCAGTTGTGTACCATCCTGCATAAAAATTACTTGATATAGCAACTCCCTCTGCTGAAGTTATGTGTTGCCAAAACTAGTTAACATATCATAATACCTTTGCCTGGTAATAGCATAGGTCTGTGGACCTGTTAGAGAAAATTTGCTGTAACGCCACACCAAACAGTGACTTTTGGTAAATTCAGTGAGATTCTCCACTTACTCAGATGCCTAAATTCAAGAATTGTGAGTGTTAACAGTACCATTTATGTGAAAATAGGCGCCATCTTTCTGCAGAATTCTCGAGGGCCAATCATTTTTGACCTCCATCCTTGCAAGAAATATTAGAGCAAATGCTACTTATTAACATAATTGCTGTGTTTTAATTCCTGCACATGGCTTAGCTTATATGGGTAAAAGTGCAAAATTTGCCATAACTTTGACAGATTCAAATCTAATTGTTCTGCTCCCCTGGCACACCATCAGTGTTTGTAGTAACCACATCGCTAACTGTCTGTTCGGACATTTATTTCTGCCCTCTACCAAACCAAACTACTAAGGATCTTGTTTCTTCAGACTTCTGAATCATACATTTGATTGCATTAATTGATAGAGGCCTTTTACATAGATTGTTACGACTTCTGAACTCCCGAAGAGTGGGAGTTGCATTTGATTGATGAAGATAAAAAATTTCACAAGAAATGTGTGCTGAGGAAAAATGAGAGACTGAGTTACTAACACTGCTTGTCATTTACATAATGAAGCATTTGCATTTTCATGTTTTACTTGAATTTTATGCGCATTTTCAGTTGTTCGGACTAGAACAATGCCACATTTTCTCCTATCAGCAACTTTTAGAACTAATTTTTTTCCCCATGGAATCTTTTATTTCGTGTTGTCATTAGTCCTGTTATCAAACTTCGTGGCATTCCAGCTGCTAGCTACAGATGGCTCTGAGTAGCTTTAGTTTAAAGGGGTGAACCGCTGTATATTAAGTACTGTTTGAAGCATAAACTTGGAAACATTTAAAACTATAATTGTTTTAGTAATACTTCGCTTTACTTTCTGGAAGAAAAAATGTTTTGTTTCACTACAGTGCATACTATACATTTTGCTAGAAGTGACAATGGGAATTTTGTTTTGAAAAGAAATGTTCATGAAAATGTGTCCTATTGAAATGATGCTGGATAGGTTAAAAAATTTAGACTTAATATAACTTTTTTTCCTTTTCATTTTTTCCAGGGAATATCTGAACGCTTAGGTGGTAAATCTAAGGCATGTAATGTAAGGCATAGATCTACAAGGAAAACAAGATCAAGAAGTATCAGCCCCATAAGAAGGCCAAATCGGCAGCGGAGCAGAAGTAGGTAAGTTAAGAGAAATTTTTATGTTTTGACCCTCTTCCATAATACTTCAGTGCTTTTTTTAAAAATTTACTTTTAACACTTAAGTTTGATTAATTTATTTATGTTCTGAATTGCTTTAGTGAAAGTGTTAATTTATTTATGAAGTGCTTTAGTGAAATTAGTTTCTAAGAATGTAAGATCCATTAAAAAAGTATCTTACCTTTGATTGAGAAAAATATAATTACGTATGTGGAACTCCAAAATCTTGATCTTTTCAATAATAGATTCCTCACTTTACTTATACTGCTGAGAAAATTACAAACAATTTCCATTCTTACAAACATTGCTGATACATATTCCGTTTTTCTTTAGTAAATTTATCGCATTGTAATCACTTCAGTAAATTTGTCACACATTAAAAATTATGTTACTGAGGAGCAAATTTTTGTTTGATCTAAGGCTTCAGTTTTGTAATTATATTTCCCGTTTAAACTGCTCAGAGTGAATTGGTAACAGTTATGATTTTCCAATTTTTCTACTCGCTGAAAAGACCATGTTTAAACATTTTTTGTTCTGAGCTTTTCTAATTTTAACTTTTTAATGGCATACTTGGTAATATATGAATTTTGCCTTCCAGAAGCTATCAATATTATATTCAAGTAATGGTTTTAACCAATTCCCAATACACCTGCAATTAACATATGCACTTCAGAACAATTATTCTAATATAAAAGTATTTTATTTTCAAGTTTAACTACTGCTGTCTTTTTTTGTAGGAAAGCTTACTTAATGCTACACATAATATCAACATGCCTGTATCCACATTGAAAATAGATCACTTTTGACTTATGGGCCTTACTCATGTGGCAGCTTAATAAGCATTGAAAAACCCTTCTTTTTTATCTAGTATTCTTATTTTTTTTATCGTAATTTAATTTCTGCACAAAGCTACAAGATTCACTGCTATGTGATGATTCAACCCAAAATGCTTATTTTTTCCTTCTTTTTTCCTTCTTTTTTTCTTAATAACAGCTTTGATACTAATTCTGAAGCAGAAAAAGTGTTTTTTTACTTCCTTGCATGAAGTAAAAAGAAAGTATAGTAATCATGAAAATTTTCAGGCATCATATTTCAACGAAAATATCCGTTTTGACCGCTATTGAATGCAATTTAACCATGTTTTCGCATAACATTTGTACGTAAGGACAGCATAAAGACTCTCTTCCCCCAAAAATTATAAAACTGATTTAAAATGAATTCTGAAGAGAATTTTTCGTGGCGTCTGTATATACATACCTATATACATATCTCACATAATTAAAAAATGAGTAGCCTCAGAATGTTGAAATTTTATATATAGGACTGCTATAACATGTACATGTACATCTCTGTTGGTTGCAATTGGCTGCACCAAATGTATATAAATATATGTATATATATGTAAAATATAAAAAAAGCACAATGGCTTTGCTCTATGTGAACAAGCAACCTCTAATTAACTTTCCACAATTTCAGGATCTTCCCCTTAGACCAGTAATTTCGAGAACATTCTAGCCTATTATGTAATCGCTTCAATAAATAGAGAACGCGCGGGGCCATTTTGCGTCAGAGAGACCGCTTTCTTCCTCTGTTGCTAAGACCTGTGCTGCTGCTCTTCTGCCTCTCTTTGTTCGAATTATAACACAGTGAATTTAATTTTATTTAGTAAAGAGTGATGATATGCCTTTCAATTGAATAAAGATGTGGAATCAAAACAATTAACTTCTGTGTCATCATTTCTGCCAAGCTTCATTCATGTGCCCGACTGCCAAAATATTACATACATATCCACTCTGTTAACTGGCTCAGTGATCTCAGTTTCTTTACTCTTATATGTTTATAAGTTGTGCATTTTTTGGTTTAAAAATGATTGAATTATGTTGTTCTTATCTTCCAGTTAAGGTTTTTATGCCTTTAGTAAATCTGCATGCAATGTTTCTGGAGTTAATCAACAATTTAAAAGTTGTTTAAATGCAGCTAAGCCTAATGAATTTTGTGATGGCAGACATGTTTGTTTACGTTTCAAACTTGTAAAATAGTGGATTTGTTGTCAATCTAGAGAAACTAAACTTGGCAACAACAAAGATAACGCCTTCTTTTATTATTGCGAATTAAATCATCCTTAATTCCCTCTGGAATTCTTTCGAGGAAATAAGTGTTCAGTTTTACTTCATAATTTTTAATATAGATATTTGAGTTTTTATGTAGTTTTGCCTTGTCGGGAAGTGAGAACTGAATTAATTGAATGAGAAATACTGAATTGTCTGTCAAATAGATAATTCTTCAAATGATATAAATTTATATGCATTCTGTGTTATAATATGGACGAAATGTAATGTTGGAAAGTGAACTTAGCAGCGCCAGAGTGTCGTTTTGGTAAACAAATATGGTGAATTTTAAAAAATGCATTTATTCTATTGTGGTTTATGTGCTATCGTCGGTGTAGATTTAATTCAGCCCAATATGTTTAAATGAAATGTAAGAAAAAATGCATATAATTTAATATTCAGTGCAAGGAAGTCATGTGGTGTACATGTCAGATTTTTTTAAATAATTTTTTGCATTGTGATAGTTTATTTTCAGATGTTCAGACGTACCATTCTATCTAGCCTAAAGGTTGGCACATATTTCGATTATTTCTACTCTTTCATGTGAATTAAAAGACTTTGCAATTATAGTTAATAATTTCTCAATATTAGAATGTGCATCTTTACTTGTAGATTTTTATCAATTTTTATTAAGATTTATTTTGTTAGATCTTTTAAAATGATGGTACATAAAGTTTGACAGTTTAAAAACTCCCTAGCTCTTTCCAAGCTTCTCATTTCAATAGAAATTTTATCATAAAATTTTCTAAATATATAAACATTATTAGAACTGTATAAGGGTGTAATATTAAGAATGTTCTTTGTATGGGTGTATACGAGTAAATTGATCTTAGCAAACATTTTTTTTAGTAGGTTGTAAAGTCATATGTTGAAGCTGATATATGTAAACCTTTTACAATACTCAAAGCAGATCCACATTAATATGCATTAAAATGAGTGGATTTGTCTACTTTATCTAGTGCTTCATTGTTATCAATAGTAGATTCAAAGCTATTCTAAAATGTAAGACAGTTTATGTTTCCATAGAATTTAGCTAGGGTCAGTTTTTGAAGTTTAATCTGAACATTACTGTTAGATTTCATTTTCTTTCTGTTCTCAATATCAAGTTACATATCCACTAATTAGGTTGAATTTTGTTTTGAGCTATCGTGTGTTCAATTTTAGCTCATTAATTCTTCTGGTGGCAGAAAATTTTTTTCGAACCACCTTTCATGGTATTAAGATTTTTAAGAATTCTACTTCAAATTCTTCACCTTTAAAAAGTTTTTCCATTTCTGTGTACAGTGCTCAGAATACAATTGTGTATCAGTGTTTTTAGTAATTCTTACCAATTGCTAACATTTGATTCATCTGCTTTCGGTATTTCCTCGTGTAATCGTTTAAGCGATTTAGTGATTGATGCTGTTAGAGTGCTGCAGTTTTTCCTTAGTAGTCCTCTTCAGACATAGTTTCTACTTACAAAATATTTAATTACTATATCAAATGCAATAATTAATCAATATTTCTTATTACTATTGCACTGAATCCTAACATTTCCACTCACATATTAATTCTGTTTCTTATTCTTTCAATATGCTAAACTCACCATCCTGGCAGAAATGCTACTAAAAATATTGTTGTGTAAACAATTCTTAAATATTCTTAAAATAATCAAGTAAAATTTCACGTCTTCTAATTCAAATATCTCCAGCTACAAAGTTTCTTATGTTGTATCTTGTCATTCTAAAAGCACTAATGTTGATTTAAAACTAAAATTGGTGGATACAGCATACTGAAATGATGAACCCAGTTAACCTTTAAGTAAAATGTTTTTTTAATTTTATGTACTGTATTTTACAGAACTTGTAGTTTAATCACGTCTATGATATTCAATGTGTTCTCCAAGATGGTGTTTACTCTTTCAGAGTCTAATGACACTAAGAGTAGGCCAGTAGGTGATGCTAAAAACAGATGCGCCAGAAGTTTTCAATATGTGATAATTTTATTAATTTTATTTTTATTATTTCATTTTAAAATCTTTTTATCGAATTGTGAGAGCAAAAAATGACAAAATATTCGAAATAACTGTATTATCTAGAAATTACAACACAATTTATAGCATTTATTAGTTAATGCTTGTTATAAATAAGTGTTATACTGCTACTAGTGATTTTTTAGTGTGGTTCTGACAAACCTAAATTATAGTTAATTATTTTAATAAAAAAAAATCATAACAAAGACTTTTTTTTTTTTTTTTTTTTAACAGGGAGCTTGAAGATGGACGTAAACGTAGTTTTCCCGATGAAGGAAATTGCAAAAGAGACTTTCCGTCCAAAAAATTAAAAACGAGACGGCATAGCCGAAGTGATCGTTTGAGTAAGTGTTCAGGTGATGAAGAAGGCAAAAGTGAAAAACGGAACTATAAATTTAGAAACTCTAGAGAACAAAGCCAAGATGGAATACTCGATAAAGATTTATTGCGTGACTCTAGATCAAGAAGTAATAGCTGGGAAAGAAATCGCTCCAGGTCTTGCTCTTGGTCTTCAAATTCATCACGCTCTCAGCCAAAAGAAAAATCTAGAGGTATGTTGTGCTGTATTTTGTATTATTTATTTTAAAACAGGCGTATAATCATTTGCAGTGTATATTTTAATAATAGTATAAGTTTGAATGGTAATATTAAAAATATGAGAACTAAAATTTTTATTATTCATTCCTGTAGTTATATTGGATGAATGCAAAAATTCTGCCTACATTTTTTTTAATAGTTAAAAAAGGTAAATTTTTTAAAAAGTAAAGTTTATAGCATTTTACACATTTGCCACAGTTTTGTGTGATGCTCTACCATTTGTCTGGTAGAATATTGTGCACACACACTCAACTGGTGTTATGGATTTTTTTAAAATTTGAGCTATACAAATATCTGATGATGTTTACTTTTCTTTACTACATTATGCTTTTTACAGTGAAATCTGATATTTTTTGCATTTGTTTTAAAATTTTTGTTGATATTTTATATATCATGTTTATAAATATTTATATACATTTTGTAATTGTTTCATATCTTATCTTTTCTTTTAAAGCTTTTCCATCTTGATTTCATTTAAAACAACTTCTGAAAATAATTTAAGTGGTAATATTAAAAACAAATCATATCTTAAAATGTAATGTTACTTGATTAAATTTGATTAAATGCTGAATTTCTTTTGCATGCCCCTTTTGGTAAAAAAAAAAAATGTTTTTTAAAGAAATATTGAATTACGTAATCCACTTAATGTTTGAAAATTTCTCTAGGTCTTGAAATGTTAAAATTAACCTTGTTGAGAACCCATTATGGTAATCATTCATCACTTCTCTCTTGTATTTAGAAGAGAAATTATGTCTTAGATCTGATTGAACAAGATCAGAATTTATTAACAAAGTTTTAGTACATATAGAAACATCACAAAAGCTAAAATACTGTAACTTACATGTTGTACAAGCTGTCAGTGTAATTGATTTTTTGAAGCAGAATATGAAATTCCTTAGGAAGAATTTTCTGTTTTTCTACTTTGTGAACAAAACTATAGAATAAATTAGAAATTGTTTGCTTATTTTGATAACATGAGGTTTCAGAAATAAAAAATTGCCATCCTTTTGTCAAGGCCATTAATGATCTAAACTAATTAAACTATTAAAATTCTTTCATTAGTTTTAACTCCTTAAATATTTTTTTCTTTAGAATATGCTAATATTCTTATTTCAGTAGTCTGTATTTATTGGAAATCTGCAAATGAAAAGCAATTTGTTCAACTTTTTATTGTGTTCACCAGTGGATGAATGGATAAAACAGCTCTTGTAGTTAAACCTAAATTTAGATCCTGGTAAATGGATGATTTCCTCCTTGTGTAACATCTATATGACCCAGTTTCTTTTAGGAAATCTATCATGAAGGCATTCCTTCATTTAGGCAGAGAACTCTGCTGTCCTTTATTGTATTACAATAGTTAAAAAGGTAATATTTTAAATTTATATCCTTTTAAAATTTATACGCTCAGGCTCGGAAATTGTATGTTCATGATTAAATTTACATGAATATGATTAGGAATGTAAAATATTGTGAAAAATTATTTCTGTATTCTGGGCATCTGACTTATTGTTACATCTAGACTCATTTGTTTGCATAAAAGTTCTGTGAAAGTACTTTAAAGATAAAGCTTTTAAAAATTGTTAGTATTAGTGCACAAGAGAAAATTCAAGTGTTAAATCTCAAATGGAAATTTGTGATAAGTTCAGATAGTACTGATAATTGAACAATTGTGACTCAGAATTTCAAAGATAACCATCAAAAAGAGTATCATATATAAAATATTTACTTAAGAGTATTCTGCTCCATTATCAGTTCATATTTAAAATTGACTGAGGATGACAATAGAAATAATTTTTTAAGGGGGGGGGCTAGTACGTTGAAATCAAAATTTCCTATAGATATTTGCATTCATACTCTAATTTTAAAGTTGGATTAACAGGCAGCATTGAAAAAGGTTTGTTTTTTCTTTTGCAACATTTTCCTTTTCCTTTTAGAGCAAGGCTCTAGGTCAAATTCAAGAAATGCTCTGTCTAAATCTGAAGCTCAAAATCCTCTTGTTTCTGACCATGGTGATACTGACTATAGACAAAAACCAATTTCTAGTGCTCCTAGTGTACATCATCAAACATCTAATACATATTCTAGTAAGGGAGCAAAAAGATGTCAAGACTATGATGGTAAGATGCTGTTTATGATATATTATTATTAAATTATTACAATAGTTTTATTCTCTTTGTAACATCTAATTTTATTTGTAGTTGATTTTATTTCCTTATACCAAAATTTTGTACTTTGAACATTTTATTTTGATTAATTTAATGTTTGTTATATTGCGTAAAGAAGTGTATTTGTTGGTTAAGTAATTATTTCCATTTATATTTAAATGTTTGTATAAAATTTAGATAACAATTGCAGAAATAAATATTAAAAAAAAATATTTTCACACTTTGAAAACCCTCTAACTGCTACTGAAGTTAATAGAAATATATATATATATATATTTTCTTTAGTTAAATACCTTGATTCTTTGTAATTGGGTATAGTAATTTTGTGGTTTTTCAAATGATTTTTCATGTCAATAGATGTGTTTCAAAGTATTACTAGTCACTAAACAAGTTTTGGTTCTTTAAAGTTCTTAATTTTAGCTGAAATTGGCAAAAGGTGCTTAATTTTACTCATCTGACATTTCTATTTGATTTTTATGACTATAGTTTTGAGAGTGAATTAATTGTTAATTTAGAAAAATGTTTTTTGTCAATGTGTTTAGGTATTTGATGAGTTATTGTTTGACTTCATTCCTACTTTTAATATTAATGGTGTGATACTCAAGTTTCCAGATATGAAGTTCAATCTCGATTGAAATATAAATATTTTGAAATTATTAACAGCTTTTCTCTTTCTGGTGTATGATTCTTTTGTTATGCACTTAACATTTTTGGTGATTTAGATCAGTTTGTATACAAGATTTTTTATTCGGATATTTGTGATTTTTTTCAGTAATTTTTTTACAAACATAACATGTATAAATATCATTAAAATAATAATAATATATCAAAATTATATTTAAGAAGTAGCATTAAAATAAAACATTATTTTTCCCTATCATATTTAAAGTGACATTACTTTCCATTTTGGTGACTTGAGAATATTTCTATTCAGAAAAATAAACAAGGTAATAAATGCTCTACAGCACAGTTTCTGAAACACTTCTCAGCTAAAAAAAAAAAAAAAAAAAAAAAGCTATCATAATTATTTTAAAAATAATTTCATTAGTCGTTCATTTTATATATTTTTACATGATAAGTTTTTTTTCTACATAATTGTTTCAGAATTATTCAAATGCACATCGGTTTTCTTTGAAAAATTTACTTTTCACATTTCTGAATTTTCAAAAAATAGTTCTGCCATTTTACTATTATAGAGTTGGTAGAGATAACTTTTTTTTTGAAGGATATAAAGGCAAGATTTATAAACCTACAATTTCAAGATTCCAGAAAAATGTGACGAAATGAAAACTGGCATCTCTTATCAAAGCTGAAAAATCTTCGATTATTGTGATACTATAGCTTTTGCGGATGATATCTTGTTTTGTTTTCAGAGTAGGGACTTTCCTGCTACTTTTTTTCCAGGCACAAGATACTTTAAATCTCACCTATGATTGGTCAAAAGTTTTAAATTGGACTTTAATACTGATAAAACTAGAGTTATGATTATTGAAAAGTGAAATATTTGTTATGATGCATTTCAGTTATTTCTCGATGGAACCCCTTTGGCTGTGGTAAAGGAAATTAAATATCTTGGGGTTTTCCTTGACTGTAAATTTTCTTGGAAGCAACATTTAACTTATGTATCTGAGAAATGTAATAAATTACAGCGTGGATTAAGCCGTATTACATGCAACACATACAGTATTAATTACAATGTTTGTTCACTTATCTATAAACAAGTAATTAAGCTCTTCACTATGTATGGCTCTAGAGTCTGGGGTATGTCGCTTAAGAAGAAGATAGATTATAAATATCTGTGGCGCATTCAAAGGTGAATACTTCTGTCGGTCATATGTGGATATTGTACCATTAGCTATGAGTGTTTATACAGTTCCTGGCTTTCTTCCAATTGACATTGCCATTCTTCATTATGTTGCCTGTAAGGAAAATATATCTGCTTCTGCTTTCTGTATGATTGTGTTTTACCTCCATCTGACCTCCCTCATCCTTCAGAAAAAAGTGCTGTTACTTTTTTATTCAGTTTAGCAATAAAATCGTAGATGATTCACCTGTAACTTGTTATACCGATGGCAGCAAAATTGATGGCAAGGTTGGTCTTGCATTTGTTGTCTTCAAAAATGGTCTTGAATTTGAGCAATTTCAACTTAGAAATAGAGATGATTGTACTGTTTTTATAGCTGAACTTTTGTGCTTAAACTTAGCCATCAAATGGATCTGAACAAAATGATGCTGTGTCCAGACTATCTCATTTGTACCGATTCCATATCATCCTTGGAGACCCTAAAACATATTTCTTCCTCTAATAATATCATCAAGATTAAAAAATAACTTAAAAACCTAAAAGATAAAAAATATTTTGGTTGCATTTGCATTTGTTCGTGGTCATACAAGTGTTGTTAGGAACGGACAGGCTGATTTTCTTGCTAAGACTGCCACCAAGCATGAAATTGACACTTTTGTCAATATCCCTAAATCTTTTTATATGAAAGTATTGTGGAGTCATGGAATCAAAAATTCATTAGCTCAAATAAAGGGAACTTAACTAAGAGATTTTTCCCTTCCATCAAAATGAGATTGTCATGTCATCACTTTTACACAAATTATAAATTGACCCAATTTCTTACTGACCACAGAAATTTCAAAAGTTATCTGAGCAGATTTAAGTTAAGCCTAAAGTCTGTCTGTGATTGTAGCATCGATGGTGAGGAAAATATTGAACATGTTCTTCTTCTATGTCCTAAATATGAAAGCGAAAGAAAAATCTTGAAACTGACATTGAAAAATTTTAGTGTTAACTGGTCTCCAGAATTTCACCCGTTTATTTCTGAGAAAATTGTCAATTCATTGTAAAATTTTTTAATCCTTAATTTTGTTTTAATTTTCTCTTACTGTTTATTTTATATTGTTTCATACTTTCTTCTGTAAGCCCCATGTGATGCTATGTATAGTACATGGAGCATTCCTTGTGTTTCTTTTAATAATAATAATAATAAAAAAAAGTAACTGATACATAATGGATGTGTTTTACAGAAAGTTTATGATAAATTTCTTATTTTTATGAGAAACTTTTAAAAGAACAGTGAAAACAAAATTACTTAATTTTCTACTTTTGATCCTAGAAGTTTTTTTCTTAGCATGTTTATCTTACCATTATTTGTCTTCTTACTAGACACAAGCATGGAAAATTCCAAAAATGGTTCTAATTTTGTCACATGGGCAGGTGTAAAGGAATTTTTCTATTGTTAAAGAAACTGAAAACTGGCCACCACACATAGGCATTTTCTGCCTGGTGCAATCTGTATGGGGGCTAAATTCTGCTGCCCGTGCCTTTCTAAATTTCAAAATTTTGCCACACAGTGTCTGCCCTGAATTCTAAAAATTTTGCCATCCTTAAATTTTGTTGCTTGGTGTTTCACTAAATTCTAAAAATTTGCCTCAGCATTTCTCACATTGTCTCCGATGCTATATCATTTTATAGTTATTCTCAAGAAATAAAAGAAGCAGTTTCTTCTATACATTTTCAATATATGCAGTTTTTTAGAATAACAGAAATCTTTAATTAAATATGAAAATTCTGCTGCCCGTGCCTTTCTAAATTTCAAAGTTTTGCCACACAGTGTCTGCCCTGAATTCTAAAAATTTTGCCATCCTTAAATTTTGTTGCTTGGTGTTTCACTAAATTCTAAAAATTTGCCACAGCATTTCTCACATTGTCTCCGATGCTATATCATTTTATAGTTATTCTCAAGAAATAAAAGAAGCAGTTTCTTCTATACATTTTCAATATATGCAGTTTTTTAGAATAACAGAAATTTTTAATTAAATATGAAAATTCTAAAATGATGATTGAAATTCAAGAAACTAATTTCATAAAAAGGAAGAAAATTGTTTTGGTTGAAATATTAACAAATTACGAGATGAAGCTGAGACAGTGAGAATATTTTTATATTTCTGAAACCACATAAACTTGGGGGGTGGGAAGCCTAAAGAGAAAGAAATTAATGTAAAATATCTCTAAATTTTTCAAATTAAAAAGATGCATAAATATTTTGTTGTGAGTTGTTTTAGAAAATATTTTAATTTTGAAGGTTTGAAATGAATTGATTATAGGACAGTGAATATTTTTATATTTGGGAATAAAAGAAAGGGGGAAAGAATTTTTATCTAATATTTTTTTTTTAAAAGATTAAATTTTTGTTTTTTGTAGTACATTTTTTTGTAGTTTTTTTATGTATAATTATCCTAATATTGTTATACAAATCAGTGTCATGAATTAAGTGTGTAATTTTCTGTTATTTTTAATTGCAAAATGTTCTTTTGTGATTTTAATAATACTTTTTAATGACTATTTTCTAGAATAAATAAATAACAATGATAATGTAAATCTGTTATGATTGAGGATATCTAACTACCTAATTAAATTATTTGTAACTAAATGTAATTTGTAACTTATTTATAACCAACCCTTAAAAATTATCTGTGTGTTTTAAGGGAAGTTATTGCCTTTCCTTAATCCTTACTGTGGACGTACAACATAGAAATGTTAAAAATAATGTAAATCTTTATTCCTTGCAACTAATTAGACTTAAAACAAAATATCTTATTCTTTTTGGTGCTTAGTGGCTTGTTAGAATTTAACAATATATTAACTACATTACAACTCTGTGCAAATATATAACTCTAACTGACTCAAACAGATGAAGCACATAATTTTCCACACATACCAATTGTACCAATGTCAGGCATTCATGTGTGTTCCAATCAGTGGTTTTTGTCTCTCTAGGTAAACAGCAGCAGTGGCAATAGCTTACCTTCTATTACAAATCATGCTCATTTATGATTTTATTTTACCTGTGCTTACTTGATATAAAATCTGCATAAACCTCTGTACTGAAAACTGTACTATAAAACTTAGGAACAGAAAAGGTACTATTCTTCTTTAAAGTATGTTGGACTATTATAATTGTAAAATATTATTGTTTCAAGGAATTTTGTAATTGAATGCTGATTACTTAATAAATTTGACAAGTAGTTGATTTTATTCTCAATTTTTTTTTATAATTAAACAAAATATTAGAGTATGCATCCTATTTGCATATCTGTTTTATTCTTAAAATTGTATCACCAATGTGAAGTTCAGGCATAAAAATAGCTTAATTTATTCAATTCCCATTTGCTGATAGGTCTTTAATTTTTTATCATTATTAGTCCTTAAAATTCCTTAAAAGTACTTACTTTCTATGTGCAGAAATGTGTACGAACCCTGTTATTTACAGTGGTTAACATCAAAGGAAAAGCTTGAGTTTATTGAAGATATCATCATTTTTTAAATTTGAAAGCCATATTTGCAGTTATTTGCTAATCTTAATGTGTATGGCAGCATGAAATTGTTTTGAAAATTTAGGTTTGATTTGTTGCTTTTTAGCAGCACATTCTAACTTAATGATATTTTAATGCGCTGCTAATTGCATACAGGTTGGTGCTGCAACATTGCTAAAAAAATCTCATGTTTTGACAATATTAAATACATCTATTTTGTGAATGTAAAAGTTTCGAGAATCATAGAAAGTTTCATAAGTTCAACTTGAATTCAAAATTTTGTATTTTCACTCCTTTGAACTGTGAGTGCTGATTATGTTGACAAAATTGGTTTTATTTTTTCAGAGGTCATATTTTACTACAAAATGTGTTAATTATTCCTTGCTGTTTCTTCTCATAGATGAATGTGGAATATTATCCATCATAATATGCCACGGAGGAAATATGCATTTAAGGATGGTTGTGCAACTAATTCTGTTTACATCATTCCAGCATTCAATATTGTAAATAACTGAATTAAAAACATGAATTTTTATTATGAACTGGTTAAGCAAATTAAATTTTAATCGAAAAAGTTTACTGGTCTTATTTAAAGAATGGGTGGATCTGTTTTTGAAAATGAACATTTACTGCAGTGCATACAAGCAGAAATTCATAACATGGCTACAAAATTTTAATTATTCATCTGTATTTTGCTAAAATTCATATTTATCTTTTGATTTTCAGTTTTTTTTTTTTTTTTTAAAGTATTTGTAAATTTAGCTATTGAGTATTGTATACTGCTGATAGTGTGAGGCTGATTATTGCTATACTAGAAGCTATATAGTTGATTAAATAAAAAGTATCTTTACAATATCTGCCTTTCCCATTTCATTTCAAATGCTGAGTCTTCTTCCTCACTGTTTTAATGTAAATTCAATTTTAACATTTCCCCTCTTTTTAACATTTAAAAACATTTAATGATCACACTTTTCATCTTTCTGATCATTCAGTTGCCACAAATTATGTTCATTTGTTTGTTATTAATTTTTCCTTCTGTTATCTATGTTTTAAATGATTTGCTGTTTTCAGTAAGTAAAATGTGTAAACAGAGGCATTATTAAATAAGTTAATATTTTATCTAAAATTTTTGTTTTATTTGATAACTCATAATCTTTGTTATTTTTGTACAAAATATTTTCCAAGACAATAAAAAAGCCTTTTTTGGTATCATAAGAGGTATTTTATCCCAATTGCTCTGGAATCTGTAGGTCGACATTTGGAGAACTTCCTTTCTAAAAGTACAAAAACACGAAAATACATTGGTGATAGATCAGGAGATTTAGTAGGGATATGAGTGAAGGGTATGGCCTTGATATCTGTTTCTTATTCCATTTTTTTCCAGGAAATTAACAGTAGATTTTGACATGTTGCTGCCTTCTTTCTCTTGATGTACTTCTACTGATTGATCACACTTCATGTGTTGATCTTAACATTTTTCTCCACTTTCTTTATTTTTAATTTGTTGTTATATGAAAAGCCAGCAATAGTTATAAAGTCAGTAGAAAAACTCTCCTTAGATTACTTGAAACATGTTCTAAGATTTTGTTCTCCTCTTTGATAAGAATAAATGGACTTTCTTTAGATCCCTTGAACCATGTTTTAAGATTTTTTTCTTCTTCTTTCATCACAGGGATCTCTTTTTATTGCAGTCATTTAAGTACACCCAAGATTCATCTAGTGTGACAATATTTTTCCATTTTTGTCCAGATAAATGTTTCTCATAAAGAATTTTACAGTGTGTTTTGTGTTCGGTGATATGTTATGGAGAAAGACAATGCATATTATGTTTTTTCTCTTTTTTAAGATTCAAATCAGTATTAATCACTTTGTTTTCAGCTGACACTAAGTATTTTAACTATTTTGCAGCTGTCCTTTGACTTTCTTTTAACATTAAAGATCTTACCTTGGATATGTATTTGGAACAATTTTTTCACTTGAAGCTGTATTTTGATGTTTTTATCCTTACATATTGACAGCATTACATATTCTAGCTTTATTTATTGAAAAAACAATGGCTTTCACAACATTTTTTAATAACCAGATATGAATAATTTTCTTTGGAAAGAACACAGATATAGCCCTCTATCCATTCCTTCTTTAAAAGTGACATTTGGCATGAAAACAAAACTGTCAAGTAGCAGACGATAATTTATACTTTTAAAAATATAATTGCAGTTAAAAAAATTCCAAGCAGATTTTTTTTTAATAGCAAAGCAAAATCATCTAAAAAAATGTGCAACTAGCTTCTGTATTCATTATAAATATGTGAAAATTTTATTTCAGTAAAACATTCCTTTTTTTTTTGTAAATATTAATTATATGTTATATAGTTGATTTGAATTTGTAAAACTTTAAAATATGTTTATTTCATATTGTGTTGTATCTTCTAGAAAAAGGTTATTGTATGAGAGGAGATTTATGTGTGTTTGACCATGGTGCTGATCCTCTTGTGGTTGAAGATGTTTCAGTATTGAATTTCAGTGTCTCAGTTCCCCCTACACAAGGTATTATTTAAGATAGTATTTCTTTTGCATAACTTTTAATTATATAAATGCTTTAGTGTGTTTTTTCGTTTCTTTTATAATATTTTTCAAGAATATCATTTTGTTGTATTTATGCCTATTGAAATTTCTTAATAACTTTTGAAATATTTTATAATAAAATACTGCTTAATAATAATTTAATTTTTTTATTCATAATATGATATATTAACTAACATCAACTTCTAATGCTTTCTAATATTTCTGAACATGTTATATGCAAAAATATTGAAACAAAATACTTTTTTAATTTCTTGCAGTCATCTTTTCTATAATTTTTTAGTATGTGCATCTGAATATCTCTATTTTTTTTTAATTCAAATATTGTTAGTATCAAATATGTACAAAAGCAAAATAATAAGCTTTATTTTTCTCTGGATAGCTTTATGTTTTGTTGGTTTCTAAACAGCAGATGATTTTTTTGATCTGGTTCAATGAAAGTGTTGAAATTTTATTTATATTATTATTAATACACTCTTTTATTTAAGATTAAGAAGATTCAACATTTAAAAGTTTTTGTTTTGGTATTTTTTATGGTAAAGGAGGAATTTCATTATTTCTTCATAGAATTAGAGTGAAATGAAATAAACAGTATCTTTACTTTAATTTCCCATTCACTTGTGGTTGAGTGAATGAAATTGCTAAACAGTGGTAGTTCGACGTATTTCAGACCCTGCCAAAGAGGCTGGCTGCTTGGGACTCTCTCTTTTTCTTTTTTCTTTTTCTTCTTTTTAATCTTTACCTCATTCTTTTTCTTCGAAAAATTGAGATTCATTCTTAATAAATTTAATTCCTTCATTTAGTGGTCTTGTTTTCTTATTGTAATTCTCTAACTGTGTGCATTAGAACTAGGTTTGTGACTTTTATTTCACTAGACTGTGTGATAAATTACATATCATTTTTTTAAAAGGAATGTCATTGTTACAAAATGCTTTTCATCATTTATCTTAATTTATGCATTTTCACTTTTCTATGGATATTTTACATTATTTTTCATAATTAGATAATATGCATGATAAAAATTAATTTGTAGTAAAAGTTAAAAATTCTAATTAAAAATTTTCTTTCAGCAAATGATGGTGTGAATTCAACTGCTGTCATTTCAAGTCGAAGAGATGGCTCGAAGTCTCCATTGCCTCCTCCTCCACCATCTTCTCCGCCACCTCTACCACCTCCACCTCCTCCACTTCCACCTCTTCCACCTCCTGGTAATAATTTTTAAGAATTTTATGAAACATTCTAGTCATGATTTTCATCATCACTATATTTGTAATCAATCATCTGATTAACTAATGCATATAAGTAACATAAATTGTATCAGTTACATACACATAAAGCATATCAGTAATTTAAATTGTACATGCTAGTGCAAGCTTTATTTAAAGTTACTTAGTAGTCTATTATTTGACACTAATAGGAACTTAAAATGGCATAATATATATAAATGATTTATAAGATTTCAAAATAGTGTATGTTCCAAAGTATCATACTGATGATAATGATTAATGCATGAAAAAGAATCAGAAATTCAGCAAGTTTTCATGCAGCCTGGAAATGTCCATTGTGAAATACTAGGTAACAGCATAAGTATAATACCGTTATAAAATAGCAACGGTACTTAAATTTTTTTTTTGGGGGTGCATGCATTTGTTTGGATATATCAGATAGTCATCTGTTACTACAAAGTGCATACAAAAGAAAATATTGAAAAGAAAAGAGTTTACCAGAGTATTCTATTGTGGCATTTTCATTCTAAGGACAATGAATGCCTGAGTCAGCGCAAAAGAGCATGGGTGATCAAGTGTGCCTGGTGAAGTGGTGAAAAGAGTAAAGTAGAATTTCATGAGTAGTCAAAAAAATTAAACAAGATGCAAACCTGAAACTCTGGTAAGGATGACTTAGATCTGTTTTCATGACCCTGAAGTCTCCTGATCAAACACTACATGATTTTTCTGCTTGGGGTTATGTGAAAGACTGTTTTTACATACCTTCACTGCCAACAGTAGATAAGTAGCTCGGGGAATGCATAAATTTTGCTGTGATGATTATTGTCAGGAAAATGTTGCAAAGGTATATGGTATGAAATATGTATTTATGTTGTGTGACCAGTGAGGCAGATAACATTTATAGTGCATAAGGAAAACTTGGTGAAGCTCTAATTTTTTTCATGTTATTATTTTAAGTATTTTTATATTATTATTGAAATTTTTGAAAATTCAGTTCCGAAGTCCAAAATCTGGGTATCCAATAATGAGAAGGATGTATTCTGAACCTTTTATTACTTTTTATAATTCTTAATCAACATTTAGTTTCTTGCACTGCACTCATGTTATGATTTACAAGATATTAATAAATTGAAAGGTATCACCTGTTATGTTTATGTTGTAAGAAAAATGAGAAACTATTCCGAAAGCCCTATGTGGTTGATGTTGTAAGAAAAATGAGAAACTGTGCCAAAAGCTCAGTCTTATAAATAGCTACATGGTATTTCAAATTTCTTACGTAAGCAAAATTAATGGCTTTTTTTTTTATTTCTATGCCCTTATGAGTCACTTTTTTTGTTCATTTAATTTAATTAAATTTTGAAGTATTTTCTCTTAGAAATTTTATAGTTATGAAAAAAAAAATATTGTTGTATGGCAACTGAGTATAAACAGAAGTTCACAAAAGGGGGAAAAATTTTATCTGTTATTTCCTCTGGTAAATACAGTTAAAATTCAACATGAATTTTTGATTGTTGTTTCTTCAAAATATTTTTATTTTTTTTATTTAAATATGTTATATGAATGTTAATTAAAATTTGCATGTATGCTTTACAATCAGCTTTTTGCATTTGTATACAAAGGTAAACTATGTAGTAATTTTCAGGATTTGTCTGCTATTTAATATTCGTATATGTTTTAATAGTTCCTAATGTAACACAGAATATGAAACCTATTATTTAGATAGAATTTTTTCCTACAGTTAATATACTATATTATTTTTAGGTTCATACATGCCAGAACCATATAATCCAGAAGCCCCTGCAATGAACATACCTCCACGTGATCACATGAATTATTGGGTACCTCCAAATATTGTGCTTCACATACCACCTCCACATCATTCACCTGGTCCGCCACCAAACTCTGGCATTCCTAGTGTATTGTGTAACCTTAGCGAACCTCCACCCTATCATAATTCGAAACCTCAACGAGCACGGGAACTTATTGGAGTTCCAACTGTACAAAATATTGACCCATCATGTAAGAAAATTGCTAATTATCTGCATCATTCTACATTGAATAATGCATGATTAAGTGTCGGGCATTAAGTATTTAATTTTTTTTTCTTTAAATGTGATATTTAGTATATTTTTGTTTAGCATCATATCCCTGAAAACATTTCTGAGATCTGTAGTAACATGTACAAACTGAACATGGCAAAAAATATCAAAATCCTTTTGTTTTAGTATACTGTATTTAGAGCTTTAGTTAATATATATGTGCATATGCACATAAACACAAATGTGCACGTACCCACAAAATTTAAGTGGGAAATTCCCGATTTTTGATTGTATTCCTGCCAACTTGATTCACAACATATTTCTCTCGATTTTTGCTTCTTCCTAAAATTTCTCATGATTTTTATGACTTTGGCTTAATATTTTGTTATTTTCACCCAAACAAAATATGATGTCTGAAATTAGTAGCGTTTTCTTTTGATTACCCATTTCTTTTTAAAAGAGAAAACATTTTGTGAACCACTGAAGCTATGTTTGTGTTTCTTTGTGTGTGTGTGTGTGTGGGGGGGGTAGATGTGTCTGAAAACATCATGATCTAATTCGCCAGTGAGCATCAAGCGCTGCTGCTGGTTATCTAGCATTTATCAGGTAATGAGCACAAATCAAGCTTGAAATATTTCTGGAGTCATTAAGGATGTGAGTTCTTGTCGAATTTGTTTAAGAGTTTGCACTTCTTTATCTTAATTCCGACTATGAAAAAAGTAAAATAGGCACATACTTTTCAAAAAAATGTATATCAGAACTTTTCTTGCATTATTTTATCAAGGAAATATAATATAATAGTCATTGCAATTTTTTTAGTATTTGCATGGTGGAAAGACAAATGAACATATGCACATGACAATTCAGTTGTTTTGGGACCCTACCCCCTGCCAATCCAAAAAAACCTATGGAAACAGAGAACCCAAAAATGTTTTGTTAATGCAGAATATTTATTTTTTGCCTTTTTACTTGGAACAAAATCTCCTGCTGAATGCCTGCCATCATGTTGCTGTTTTAAAAATGTTTCCCGATAGTGAAATCACTAATAAATGTTCATGTACAGTAACAGAATGACTGCAATTAATGGGTGTGAAAAATAAATCTTAAGCAGTTGATTGCTGTAAAATAGTTCCTTTCATCCTTTATACAAATGGAAGCAATAATTCCGATGCAAAACCTTTTGTTTGTTGTTTGTAATTTGTTGTAATTTGTTTGTAAAGTTGTTTGTAATTTGAAGAAGTGTGTTTCTACTTTGGAAAGATATTGTACTGGTTTTATTGTCACAAATGTAGGTATTAACCCTTTCGCAACGGCGCACCTTTGTTTAAGACACTTGTGCGGGACAGAAAGGAATCAAAGGCTGTCACCCTACAGGATGGAGGTTTTGCATCGCTAAGCCTAATTTTTTTTTTTTTTTTTTTTTTTTTTTTAAATCAGGGGGGAAAAAAAAAGTTTCACTTCTACCATTGTAATTTTTGGCATCATTTTAGATTATTACTTGAGCTCTTATATATGTTAAAATTAGCACTTAATAACTTTTTTTCTTTATTTTACATGAAAATATACTTAAAAAAGTGCTTATCTTGTAAAATAATTTTCGGAAGTGGTATTCAAACTATTCCAAAGTTTTAATTGATGAAATCCATCAATAAAATTTAAAATTGATAAAACAACACAATAAAGACTATTTACAGTAAGAAGTAACAAAATTTTAAATGAAGATTGAGTGTGGTAATTCTCGAAGCACAGAGAAGTATTACTTTCTAACTCTTAGAAAAAGTATCACTTTCTAACTCTTTAGAAAATGAATCATCACTCTTATTTGCATTAGTAAAATGGCTAACCATATAAGGGTATTCTTCCTCTGATAAATAGTGCCTTCCTGCCATAATAGACTGGAGGTGAGGCTTTCGTAAATAAAAAGCATAATAATATATCAAGAAATATATCTGAAGACAATACAAAACATAAAAGAACTCCACAGAGCAACCCTAAAAGACCATACATAGTAGAGGGGAAAAATAGAATAGAAAAAAGGAATTGGATATAAATCAGACACGAGAATATTTTCATTAGCACACAGCGATTTAAAGAGCCCACCTCTGTTCGTGCTTTCCCTCCCCCCCCCTCGCCAACAGCTGATGAGTAAAATACCGAAGTCAAGCAGAATATATCAAACTCAAGGTCAGAAACCTAAAACTGTGTTCATTTCAAAAGTAATGAACATAAATTGCTATCTAGTGGCCTTCAGAAAAATGTTCCAGCTTTAAATGCGTATATGCATTGCCCGTCCTCTGAATACAATCTCTAGCGATGTGTGGATTAGATGCCCGGCTGTAAGAGATGTTCTTAGAGAATGTGCATATGGGACACCTGTCCTGAAAGGGTTAAAATGTAAAAGGGAAATGGGAGTTCCTCTGGGTAACTATGCACCAGTAATAATAGGTTTTGAAGATTGCTGTTGCAGGCATCTTGTGAAAAAAAAAGCAAAATTTAGATTTCCAGATTATAAAATGTACCTGGCACCTTTTAAATTTAGGAGCTGAAAAAGGTGCAGCTTCTTTATTAATAAATGTAAATCAGTTCATTGTTGATATATATTACTATCTTCGAAAGTGTTCTCAAAGGAAAGAAAACTGGAAACAGTTACAACAGGTGCATGATACTGAAATAAGAAAAAATTTTAAACATGTACATACATATTGGGTATCTTTAGAGAAATGTTTACATATAATCCTCCACCAATGGAACCCACTTTTTATGTTTTTTAAGGAAGAAGCAAATGCTTCTAGAGTTAAGATAAATGGTTTTATTGAAAGATATGAAATACCTAAAGTAAAAACAGAGTGGCTTCTGCTTTCATCATTAAAAATAAATGTCAAAAAATAAAGTAACTTCTTCAGTTATGAGTAAATTTATGGGCAGTTCTTACAAAAATAACAAAAAAATTAGCATAAAGTTTATGCAGAAGTTTCAAAATAAATAAATAATAATTACTCAGCAAGGGAAACATTTGTCAGTTAGTTACTCTTAAGTTTGTCTCATGAGAAACAATTATTTATGTTTTTATCTTTGTACTTTAACAAAACTTATTTCTTTTTTGTATGCTCCATTCTGGCATCACTTTGGGATTTTAACACAGTTCTGCTGCAAAGAACTCTAATTATATTGAAAATTAATTTTTTTATTAGTTGAAACCCATAATACGTTGTTGTTTTTTGAAAATTTTTATAATAATTTTTCACCAATGTTTTTTATAAATCTCATAGAACCATTTGTGCAACTCATGCTGCCCTTTCCTTTCCTCATTTCTTATCTATTTATAACTCTTAGCAATGAGCTTAGTGTAAGTGATGTTTCATAATGTTTTGCTTAATTTTAAATATTTATTTTCAAATATTTATAGATTTTTATATTATTGCTAAACATCAATTTTTGTTTGAAATAAATACCAAAATTTTAATCCAGTTTTATATAAGATTATCTTTTTCTCTCAATTTAGATATGACATTAGTAAGTTTTATTTGCTTGGAAGCGAATGCCTTTAAATATGAATATCAATTATGTCTTAAGATTTTTTTAATATTTCAAGAATTTGAGCAAAATCCAATGATTAGACTCTGTAGTTTATCACACTATAGATTTTAAAACAAAAATGGCTGATTTCTTACTGCTGTGTTTCTTTCCTTTTTTATCTTTTTTCTTCGACTGCAGTAGTACCTTTCTATCATCACTGATATATAATTGACCTTTTTAAAGTTTTAATTTAGTTTAAAGTTTTCATTTAGTTTTCATTTAGAAGTTTAAAATTTTCATTCCATTTTTTCTTGCACTGTAAATTTTTGAAATGGTATTTTCAGCATCATATATTTTGTTGTAAAATGTAAAATTCCATATGTGTATTCCATTTGCCAGTTTTTACAAATGATTGTTAATTTTTATGCACTTTTTTAAAGCATAAAAAATCATGCCAGTTTGGCAATTTATTACCAAAGTTGTGTTTAAAGTGTATAGTTTTAGCAGACATTGAGGTTATGGTTTGAATCAATCTTCTTTGTTACATCAAAATTAAGTTTTCTTCTGGGATTATGAATTTTTTTGTTATGAATTGCTAAGTTTGCATGAAAAATCATGCCAGTTTGGCACTTTATTACCATAGTTGTGTTTTAAGTGTATAGTTTTGGCAGACATTAAGGTTATTGTTTGAATCAATTGCTAAGTTTGCATCAAAAATCATGCCAGTTTGGCACTTTATTACCAAAGTTGTATTTAATGTGTATAGTTTTGGCAGACATTAAGGTTATTGTTTGAATCAATCTTCTTTGTTACATCAAAAGTAAGTTTTCTTCTGGGATTATGAATTCTTTTGTTACAATTTGCTAAGTTTGCAATTTTCAGATCAGTTTGTTTACAGATATTTTTATTCAAAGGGTTTTTCAAATTCATGACAACTTTTGTGACTAATATTGTTATAGAATTTTAAAACAAAAGTGGTATATTAAAATTACATTTTTTTAGAAACGTAATATTGAAATAAAGCACTTTTATTTCTCACTGTAATCTGTTAAAATTACCTTTTATAACTGTCGTCTTGTCATAAAATTAAGAGAAAAGACATGTTGGAGCCATATTGAAGATATAAAGCATAATGAACTCATTTCTATGAAAACTATGCACACAAGTGTAAAAGTAATTAACTTGCTGCTATGTTTTCATGTAATGTAACTTAATTTTACATTTGATTAGTGAACCATAGCATGTGCCAAAGTTTCTGTTGGTAAATTGTAATGATTTATTACATATCATGTGACCCTGAGTAGGTGAAAATAGTCTTATGTTTTCATCGCAAAATTAATCCTTCATTTTGGCAACTTTTAAGTACTTTGATACTAAAATTTAAAAAAGAATTATGTCCCAGCAGACACACACACACAAAAAAGGGACCCACTTTTGTAATTATTTTTCCAGTTTATTTTATTTGTTTAATATTTCATTTTGTATGCCATTTCTCCCACATATTTTTTTTTTTTTTTAAATGTTTAGATATATAACATTATTTTCTGCAGGAGTAGCTTTATGTCCCTCCCCCCTGAATTTTTATTTAAAATCCTTTTTTTTTCCTTTTGAATTTGGCAGCTATTTATTTATATATTGTGCAATGTATAAAATAGTTTTTTTTTTTTTAATTATTCAGGTGTATACCTAGATTTTTACCGCAGAATTTCTTTTTCCGGAAAACTTATACTTTGATACAAAGGAAAAGAAATTAAACTCACTTTGATCCTTTTCTTTGTTTTTCAAAATTTCTTTTCAAAACGTAAAAAAGATGATATTAAGATGAATTAGATGAAGAATAATACATCAGTATTGCATTATGTGTGTATATAAAAATAAGTGTTATAAATTTTATGTAGGTTTCTTAGTTAAATTTTTATGTATATACATGTTTAATAAGTATCATTAATTTTAATGTGTGCAGTTTATGTTGTTGAGTAATTTTTAATATATAAATGTTTTAAAAGGGAAGAACAAAGGATCACTAAAAAAAGGATCTGCAGAAGAGCACATTCAGAATTCAGTGCAAAAATCTCATATTTCTACCATGGGTGAAAAGTCTTCCTCTGGATCTTCTGTTGAAGTACCAAAGAAAGGTTTCGATTATAACAGACTAGGTCCAACTCCTAAGAAACCATTTAAACAAGGCAACAATCGTAGTACATTGGAAGTGCGAAAAATTCCGACTCATCTAAACACAATTGCTCTCTTAAATAGTCATTTCAGTAAATTTGGTAGGATTGTAAATCTTCAGGTAATTCTTATTTATTTAAGTTAAAATGCGTATTTGACTATTCTGACATTTACTAAATTTTAGATTGGCATTATTTGCTTTATAATTTTTGTACTTATTTTTCTGTTTTTATTTTTTACTCTTAAATTTAGAAAGTATTTCAGTTGGTATTATTGTTTGCATTATGTATTTTTTTATAGTGATAGTTTACACTTTTTGTGCTGAATGCGAATAATGTAATTTCATCTGCTTATAGAGGCTTTCTTGCTATATTTTAAGTTTCAATTGTTTGCCTTCATGATGGAATATTAATGGTGATTTGTGCTAAAATTGAATTTTAAAAAAAAATTTAATTTATTATCATTTTTTTCATTAAGGAAATTTTATGAGCATTTAAATTTGTTGCAAGTAGATATTCCATTTAGTAATTTTCTTAAAAATTTAAATTTGGTTTCAACACATAAATTTTAACTGAGCATATAAAAATTTGATAAATGTTCATTTTTTACAATATATATTTTTTATATATAAAATAAAGAGGCTAATTTTTTAAAAATTTTATTGCATTGTGAATATACCCGTAATAAATTCATAGGCACATAATGTTGTATCATAATTCTTTTATCGTTTCCTAAATAATGCCTAATAATAAAGGAGAGATTAATAATATTAAAATATCTTATTAAAAGATCTTTTAGAGTACATGCTCAGGAAGATCTCTATCATCGTGCTTCTCATAAGTCGTGGAAGAATGCTATCCTGAATTTGTGTAATGGCTAAAGGTGTAGCAGGTTATTTGCACTCTGTGCAGCTCTGGACAGGTGATGCACGCTGCACATATTCTCTGCACAAGACTTTTCAGTTAGAGTAGATAGAAGGGTATCCCTTGTGTTATCGTGAAGTCGTCATTTCATTTATCGCCAAGTTGTTTCATCTATGGTAGCCTGAGTAGTTGAATTTTATGGAAACCCTATTATGACATAATCAGTTGCATGATTGCGGTAAATTCGTGAGGGCTTGTGTGTGTTGGTTAGGAATTGCTTCTTTTGTGGTTTAGATGATAAAATGGCTGAATGTGGTAAGATTAATTTGAAGTTTCTGTACAATTTGAAAAGAAAGGGGAAAAGAGCATTACTTGACTGGTGTGTAAATGAAGGTTTACTTAGTAACCATTATTAAGTGTCCTGTTTGTTGGAAGGAAATGCGTATGGTCGAACGTCGGACAATAAACTGTGCTACAGAGGGATATTTTTACTCTTATTCTGTGAATTTATGTGGTGACGCCAGTATACAGATTCTAGTTCAGATAATTTTAGAAGTTTTTGGATTCTGTTAAGGAATTTTGTTTGACTGAAGACATGCTAAACCGTAAATAAGGTAAAGTGGATATTTCCTTGGTGTAGTGCAAAGATGAACTTTCTTTTTTATGTTATTTCATTGTTTGAATTAAAATGTAGTTTGTTGAGATTATATATTTTTTTCTTGGCTGCTTCTTTGACTTTTTAAGCGAATATAGTTCGATGTGTACATGGACAAAGGGCCTAGTTTGTGCAATTCTCTGTTTTTTTAAGTGAAAATAGGTCGATGTGTACATGGTTAAAGCCAAGGGATTGTGCAATGCCAAGTTTGTGTAATTCTCCGATTTTTTTTTAAGTGAAAATAGGTCATTGTTTTATACCAAGTTCGTGCAATTCTTTGTCTTGTTATTTTGGCTTTGTGCAGCATTGATTTTTGCACTGCTACACAAGCCAAAATAACAAGTGAAAGAATTGCACAAACTCATCCATGTACCACCAACTTTCGCCAAGGGGTACCCGTAAATATATTTTTACTGATTTTTCTCGCCAAGCATTACTGGGAGGTAAGAGATATGTTAGATTAATGGACTCTGTTGCAGCTCTTTTTTTTAATTGTTTTAATTCTGTTGCTGTGTTCTGTGTTCTTGATTTTTGCTGTAATTGTTCACAATCTGCCATTGGAAATAAAAAAGATTTAGTTTTAGTTTATTAGTATAGAAAACTACTCTTGTTCAAATTTTGGTATTTATCAACATTTTAATTTTTTCTTGTTTATTTTATCAAACACATTAAAAATAATCTAAATTAAATATATATATGTATATGTTTTTTGAGTTTTGTAAAGGAAAGGAGGGGAATGATGGTGTAGTAATGGCGAAATGGGTGCATGGAACAAAAAAGGTTGAGAACCCCTGCTCTAAAATGATTTCTTTTTGGTGTTGGGATTTAATTTTTTATCGGTCTATATATATTTATATATATAAATTATGAAGTATATTGTGTTTCCTAAGTACAGAATCAGCTTTCTTTTAGGTAAATTATGATGGTGATCCAGAAGCTGCATTAATTCAGTGTATGTTAAAAATCTTTTAGGTAAATTATGATGGTGATCCAGAAGCTGCATTAATTCAGTTTATGACTCATGCTGAAGCAACTGCAGCATACAGAAGCACAGATGCTGTATTTAATAACAGGTTCATCAAAGTATTTTGGCACAATAAAGATGATAGAACTAATAATGTTCCTCCTGAAAAGTTTAATGCATCAACGCCAGCTGATGTTAAACCAATCGTAAAGACTGTGGATAATCGTGTTACTGATGTTAACATGAATGACAGTCATCGGAGTGATACTCAGCAAATATCTGAAAAAGTCTGTCTGCCAGAAAGGGTAATTATTTTTTCTGACATTTATTGCATTGACAGAGAAGTGAAAATTTATCATCTGTGTCATTTATATTAATTATAATCAGTGTTTTTTCTCAAAAAGTGTTTAGGAATAATCTGTTTGAATAAAGGATTGACTAAAGGAATTCACCATTTCATAGTTGAAATTGGAGGGGGTAAAAATAAGGGAAACGGTGTTTACGGTATTGATTTTTTTAAAAGTTTTTGAAGTGTATTAATTTCTTTTTTTGGAAGATCATTAATTTTAGTTGTATTTTTAAGCATACGTTTTGTGATTTTATAGAGTACTGATTCATATAAAATACCTGTTCTTGGTTGTAAGTAAAATGTTTTTTAATCTAAATTTAGATCAAAATGTAATATTTTTCTTGCCTGCGAAACTTAATGGCAAACATTTTTATTGTATTGTTGTAAAAATGTCTAGATGGAAATTTAGCCCATTACAACTATCCTTGAGTATAATATGTATTTTACAGGTGCTATAGCTCTTCTGGTTTAAGTGCTAGTTCTCTGATCCATTCTTACAAAGTTAAGTTTTCTGGATGTTTAATGAAAATGTTCCGCAGTAGATTCCTAGCTGTTGCAGTATCTTTAGAAATGAGCATCTGGTTGAAATTGGATATCAGATGCATGTTCCTCCCTTACTGTTCAAAAACGTCAATCAGATTATTTACTTTAAAATTTAAAATCAAAGAAAACAGACACACGGGAATTTATCTGCGAATGAAATTTAATGTATTACTGAATAAAACTAAATGCATTCATAGTTCTTTTAAAGGGATTATGGGATTGTTTTTACTAAGACATTAAAATTGTATGGAAGGAAAAGGTGCTGTTTATACTCTATGTCAGCAGGATTACGTGAATTGACACCAATCACTAAAATTACCAATTTTAGTAGTTGATTAATGTTATTTTTTGGTATTCCTTCGAAGTTGATTTTTATTTTCAATTATTCTTTTACTCTTTCAACTTTCTGTTCAGTTGCTTGTTGGCAGAAATGCTGATAGTGAGGGTAGTTTCCCCCCCAACACCTTATTTTAGTGAAGAAGTAGTGAAATCCAATTTGGTGTACTTTTAGCTGCTAAAGCAGTCTTTTGTATGATGTATTCATTTTTGTAATATATATTATCCTAGCAATTGACAGACACTCTCAGAATTTTGGATTAGAAGGAGTGTGAATGAAACCAAAATTTATGTCAAGCCCAGAAAAATTCTTAAAAAGTCATCTTATTATATGAGAAAATGAGATAAGTTCCTAGTAAAATGACTTATGTAGAAATATTTTATGGTTGACAATTGGAAAAGATTTTCACACCGCAGCTTTTATTGACACTGTAGGATTGAAAACCAAGAATAGTGTTGGGAATTGAGCAGTGCTTGCTCCTTGCCTCTGAATAAGAGATGTATCCGGAAATCTGAGAAATTTTAGATTTAATGTATTTTAAGCATTTAGTGTAATCTGCAGTCCACATTTCTTCCATCAGATTACCAAAAAACGGATTCATCATTTTCTCCTTGCATACTAAAACTCGCAATTTTTTTAGAGGGAGGGCAGCATTTGAGTAGTAGTCAATGGTGTTGATACTAATTACTCAAATCAGCAGTATGTGTTGTAAGTTGGACTGTCATTGTTGATTGACTTCAGTTTGTGGTATAGTAACCTAAAGGTAAGCTAGCAGTTATATAAAATAACAATCTCTGTGTCATAAAAATTGTAAGTGAAGTTAGGGGGAAAAAATTAAGAGATGGTTTTAACAGTTTTTTATCGAAAAAGAATATAACTAGCTTCTCTCTGCAACATAAATTTTATTTTTTTCGAATTCTTTCTTATAAACAGCAATTTTCAGCATGTTTGAAAGATGTTTCCTAAAATTTTACTTTGCTATGCTTTTTCGACATTTAAATTTTATTATATTTTATTATTATTTAAATTTTGTTATTCTATTTTATTACATTACAGAAAACATTCATCATTTGTATGTGATCTGATAGCGAATTGCATATGCTGTTGTAACATGAAAAATTTCTCCTCTATTAGTTTTTCAATTCAGTGGATAAAATCAATATTTCATATTCCTTTTCATATTCCCTTTTTTAATACTTATTAGTAAAGTAATACTTTTCATGTAATAAATGCTTTACTTATTTATTTCTGTTTTGATCCTAGCACTGCTATTAAAAACTAAATAGTAGGATGTTATCATAATTTTATAATTGAACACATTGTTTAAATAATTATTGTTGCTCATTTTTAACTAATTATTACTATTTTGTGAAGTATTACTATGTATACTAAAAAGTGAGAGGAAATTATATGCTCATAGTGGTCTGAGTATTAAACTTATCATATTGCACTATAGCAGTTTTAAAAACTTTGGAGATATTATTTGCCGATGCAAATTTCATCAAGTTTCTGAATTGTTGAAGACCAAGAAAGTGTCTTCAAAATTACTGTAATGAAATAAGATAAAAATTTTGCTTCTGAATTTAAACTCCTTTAGACTAATATAATGCCACATGATCTATTCTTAATTATGTTATATATTTACTATGTTCTCCTGCCCTAGAAGATTTATATAATTTTAAATTAATGAAAAATTTTATGTATTAAAATCTGAGTATTATGCTTAAAGTCTTTCAAAATACAATTTTTTTTTTCCCTCAGTCTGTTGTTTACTCATCTAAAAAGGGCAACCTTTCTCGGACAGTTTTTAATCCAGCAATTTTGAAAAAAATAAATTTAAGTGTTGATTCATCTACTGTTGCTCGCAGGCAAAAAGAAGAACAAAGAAAGGTATGTTAAGATTTTTTTTATATATTATTCTTAAATTAGTATGCAGCATTCAGTTAATAAATTTGTTTATTTACAACTATTTAAGGATAATATTTAACTTTTTATTTAAATAATGAATTTAAGGTTCATAAAGAATTTTGACGTGATTAACTCCAAATTGAACAAAAAGGTGTAATTAAATCAGACATTCCATTTACTGAATTTATTATATTATAATATGATAAATTCAGTAAAAGAAATGCCTGTCATAACAAGAAGGGTTTAAAATTAATTTAAAATGTTGCATAAAGCTGGTTGCTGAGTTAGAAAAAGGTATATGTAGCATAAACCTGGCTGTGAGAAAGGTATGTTAAGATTTTTTTTATATATTATTCTTAAATTAGTATGCAGCATTCAGTTAATAAATTTGTTTATTTACAACTATTTAAGGATAATATTTAACTTTTTATTTAAATAATGAATTTAAGGTTCATAAAGAATTTTGACCTGATTAACTCCAAATTGAACAAAAAGGTGTAATTAAATAATTAGCTAAATTATAACAAGACTCCCTACTCACTTGGAAAATCTTGAAAAATCTGAGAAATAAAAAATTACCAGGAAAAAGTCAATGGAAATATAAAATTTCTTTGAAAACTCTGGTAGAATCGGGAATTTTTTCCAAAGAGTTGGAAGATGTAAAAAAGAAAGTATAAAATTAGTCTTCTCAGGTGATAAAATACTTTAAATGATAACTTATAAAGGAAAAATTGCCCACCTTAAGAAAAGTCTGTCACTTATCTCTGTAGAACGATACTTTCAAAAATGAATAATGTAATTTAGACGTCACTGTGTAGTTGTTCATTATAATAAATGAAAGAATTAAGTATATTTTCTCAAATACACATTTTCAGTTACTCCTGTTTCATTTGATAATTAGTGTACTGTGCTTGATCAGGAAAATCTGACGAATTTGAATTTCATAAGTATTTTATGTAGAATGGTGACTACCTGTATAAGTTAATAATGACAGAAATGTTATTCATACAATAGCTTTTTTAATTTAGAGACAAATTCAATAGATACAATATTCATACTAGAGGTACAACTGATATTAAAGAAATACCTGCAACTTTTTAACTATTAAGTGATTGTTAAGACAGTATTTGTACATTCCTTAAAAAGTTCTAGGTTTTTCTGAAACAGTTTATCTTTGGTGAAGATCTTTAATAGTGCTTATCTGAGATTGCTGGTTCTCTTTTATGACTGCTATTCTGAGTTGGAGTTCTTGTTTTAGATAAATATGGAATTTAAATCGGTTCTACTCTTATATGCACCCTAAGATCACCAAATGTGGTGATATGTGTTCTGGGCTGGTTTTTGGCACGATTGTGTGTTGTATGGCAACCCTTTTGACGTTGAATACTCTTTTGCTGGAGTGTTTTAATTGCTCGTTGGTTCGTGTCGTGCGTTTTTTGAAATGGCCTATGTTGCAATGAGGGTCTGGGAGATTATTTTTAGTGGCTGTGCATGATAGAAGTTAGGAAACGCTAATGCAGTGTATTAAAGAGTGGCTTAAGCCTTGTACAACTATTTTTTTGGATGGCTGGAAATCTTACAAGGATTTAGGAAAAGAAGGTTTTGAACGTTTATTTGTGAACCATAGTATGAATTTTCTGTATAGTGTGTCTGGCTGTCATATAAATATGATAGTGATTATGTGGCGGCATGAAACTGGTATTTCTGCTGTACGAAAAAGCGTTCATTCATGGTAAGTGCATTTTATTTTATTCTTGTTCTTATTTTGTAGAATGTTATGTTAATTGTTTTTTTAGTATGAATTTCTGTCATTATTGTTGTTTTTTGAATTGTTTTGAAATTTATTTTAGTTATTTTAGTTTATTTTGTTGATTAATGCATAGTGCCTAGATTGTGCAATTCTTAGATGTTTTTTAAAGTTGAAACAGTGTCCGTGATTTCAAAGGATACCTGTGTACATGGTATTCTTTGAAATTTATTGTTGTTATGTTAATTTATTAAAGTGAGGTGTGCGTAGTTCGTAGATTTTTTTGCTGCCTAGATTGTGCAATTCGTAGATGTTTTTTAAAGTTGAAACAGAATGCTGTGTACATGGATTCTTCTCAAATATTTTTGGTTAGAAACTTTACGTTTTTGCTATCTAAATTTTTTGTTTTTGTTTAGGATTTTTAGCTTAAATTATGGGTTCAAAACATGGTTTTTATTTTAAATAAATTAATAAATTTAATTAAATAAATAAATAAATTTAATTAAATAAATAATATTAAAAATAAATAAATAAATTAATTTAAATAAATAAATAAATAAATTAATAAATTTAAACATAAATTTTAACAAACAAACATGTAAAAACGTAAAAAAGCAAATTTAAAGTTAAAATGTGCAAACATATAAAAGATTTAATTCTTGAACTAATTTACAATATCATTTAAATTCAGATAACATAAGTAAATCAAGTGCAAAACCAAACCATGAAAATAAATTACCAATTAAGCAAATTAAAATTAATCTAAAATTTTTTTAAAAATGCATAAGTGAATGACTGTTGAGCATGCAGGAGGCAGACTTATCAAGGGGAAGTTGCCTCCAAACCTAACTCTTCAATCATTCAATTCGTGTTTCGTCATTCATGTAAGCAAGGGTTTGGTTAACATATTCTTGGCAGACATTTGGATTATTGTTCGAATTCATTCCTTTCTGTATTACCTAAAAAAAGTTTTTCCCTTTTTGCAATATGAATTCTTTTGTTACGTATCTCTAAATTTGGCACCATATCAATGATAATATATTAAAACTCATGAAAATAACATTTTGCTTTTCTCCTGTCATGTTTTACCTTTTATTTTGGTGAATAATGCATATTTTGCTTATATTAACAAGAGAATGGTATAAAGCACAATTTCCAAATGATTTTTTAGCAAAAGCTAAAAAACTACTGTAATTTAAAAATTAATATAATTTGTCTTCATTTACACTTATTTATGACGAGTTTTTTTTTTTTTCTCATATAAATTTTCCAACGTATTCTGATTTATATCAGTTTTTTCTGTAAAATGAACTTTACACTTTTTTCCCTGCATTGTTTTAAACAGTCTTCTGATGCTGTTCTCGTACAGAGTTGTTCTTGAGGAAGAAATTCATTACACAAGAGTAACAAATTAGCAGTTGGGACATTTATTAAAGCAAATGAATTTAGAAAAGATGTTAAAGAGAATGATTGGATCTAAATTATCTGAAAAAAATTCTTATTAAAAAGACACAAGTATTTGTGCATTATGTATGTTTTGTAAATTTTATTGTATAGTTATATTAATCCTTTTGAAATGAATTAGCTGTTCAGTTAATTTCATTCTTATGTTAGATCTTGTGCTTTTGCCTGTGCCTTCCAAGGTACAGATTCTAGGTCTTGTACCTTGAGAGATTTTAGCAAGATTTAGAAACCTCTGATTAATGTCTAAAAGTTCAGAAAAGTCCTGTGACAAAGGAAAAAAAAAAAAAAAAAAAATGTTTTAATTGAATTAACAGGCAATGGATGTGTTTTGTAGGAAAATTGTGATAAATTTTCTGAGAATTTCTGGAAAACCAGTGAGAAGTTATTTGAAATTTCTACTTTTCATTTCAGCAGTGTTAGATTAAACACATCTATATTTCCTTTATTTTCTCTTTTATTTTCATACTTTTCAGTGTTCAAAAGCATGGAAATGCAAAAATGATTTGAATCCTGTCTTATGAGCAATCATCTGTAGAAAAGAACTATATTAAAATGTTATTGAACATTTACCATTTAAAAGATACTTCTTGTATATCTTAGTGCATCATATTATTTTATGAAGTTTTCTGGTGTTATTTATAATACCAATGTTATTAAAGAAATAAAATGTGCAGTTTCTTCTGTAAATCCTTAATGCTACAGAATTACAAAGCAGTCATTTTGATCACAAATGAAATTGCTCATTTTATTAATGATGTTTTTTTACTTTTCTAAATGTATACCTAGGAAAAATCATTTTTTGGCTTGTTTTAAATGGTTAATTTTTAAAATTTAATTATATATCACATAGAATTATGGATGGCAGTCATTTGAAGTCTCAAATGTGTTTCATGTTTCTTGTCTGAATATTTTAGTAAATTTTGTTCCTTCTTCTGTGCCACACCTTTATTTTGATTGCAGTTGTCTGAAGCATCTGTAATTTTTTTTTTTTCTTCTATTAATCATATCGTGTAGAACCGTTGAAAGAAAATATCTATTAGAAGACAGTGCAGATGCATTATAAGAATTATTCAATGACATTTCTGGTTCAGGAATTAATTTCCACGAAGAATTTTATACAGAAATTTATTTTATTCCATCTAATAAAGATTGGATTATTCCAACTACAGCAAGTGAATCTGATTCATCAAATGATGGTTCCATTATTCCTTTAAAAAAATATTGCCATAATATATCACCATCTCGTCTTGAAGAACAAGACATTTCTTTGTTATTTTCATATTGTTTTGATTCTAAAAATAAAATCATTGCAAAAGGAAGTTGCGGAGTTCAAGATTTAGCCTTGAATGAAAACGTAGTCAAGAACAAGGAAGTAGTAGTGGTCCAAAAATAGATGAGAAAGGTGTAGCACAAGCCATAGTCCAATAAGGAAGTGAAGGCAAATCAGATGATTTGAAATAAGAAAATCAATCAAAAGAGGAAGAAATAGTAAATGATGATGCAGTGTGGGAAAACAATATTTAATGAAATGGAGACTTTCAGTCAATGAAAAAATGTTGTATCATGTACAGCAGTGCAATGAAATTGAGGCACATGAAAAATATAGAAATCTGAATTGCAATTTGTTACTTGACGAGTTAGATGCTTTTATTGCTGAATTATGTGCTAGTAGTGCTTTGGCTGGCAAAGGACTTTCTCTTTTGAGTTTATGACCCAAATCCTGGTCCCAAAACTTAGTGAAAGAGTGTCTAGGGATAGCCTGGGAAATAATGAAATATTTGTGGGTTGACTTAAATTTCAACTAAATCACAAAAATTATAAACTGATCCATTTGCTGTTGCTTCAGAGAAATATCTTTATAGCGAATTTTTTTTTTTTTTTTTTTTTTTTTTTTTGTTACAAAGCAGATGGAACTACTGCATTTATTCCTATGAAAGCAAAATACTGATTTATTCAAAATATGCAGATAACTCAATAGATTCAGTAAAAGTTTAGCTTTTATGCTGAATAATAAACTCAATAGATATAATTAACTCATAAGAATAATAAACTCAATAGATTCAGCATAAAAGTTTAGCTTTTATGCTGAATCAAACAAACAAAATGCTTTGTAAACACCTACCTTTATTTGGGAAAAGAAGAAAGCAAATCGGCTGATGAAATCGTTGGAGAGCATGGTGTTTATTCTTTGATAGAGCCCTTTTTAACACTAGAATGTTGCTACAAACAATTTCTTTATCTCCTTGTATTAATAAAAACTTAAGGAGTGAAAGAATTAGTTACATTGGTGCAATCAATTATACAAGAAAAAAAAGATGTATGGTATAATATTAATGGTTTATGTTGTAAAAAAGAAATTGTTACTGTGCAATTTGGTTAAATAGACTTTTAAACATGCAGCCAAAATAAGTTAAGTAAATTATGCAATATCTCATTTTACTGGGGGGGGGACTTAAAAATGCTACATTTTTCTCAAGTTGCAATCAAAATGGCCTTATTCTCTTATTAGAGGTAAATTAAAAATGCTGTAATGCTAGTGTTAAATATGTACATTTTATTAACAGCAAAAATTTTTAACTAAGTTAGAAGATTCAAAGATAAGACTTTATGAGGAAGGAATCTATAACATTAAGTGAAAATAGATATTATTGAAAATATTAATAAATTAGCATTTGGGACATTTGTTAAAGCAAATGAATTTAGAAAAGATGTTAAAGGGAAGGAAATGGATGTAAATTGGCTGAAATATCTGAAAACAAATTTCTAATTAAAAACATGCATAAATACTTTGTTGCATTTGTAAATTTTACAGTTATTTTAATCCTTTTTAAAAATCAATGTTTAATTAAGTTATATGCATTAATTGTGCCATTTTTAAACTCTAAAATTTCCTTAGTTTCGTATTTTAATAGCACTGTTTTAACAGTGCTATTAAAATACCAGTAATAGTAATCACATAAATCTTCTTTAAAATATGTGTGACTATTATAAGCATAAAATATTTCCTAACTTTTAGTATTAAGTACCAATTTCTTGATAACTCTTAATTTTTTAAAAAAAAGTAATATTAGTTACACGAAAACTCTTATGGAGTTAATTTCATTATCAAATTTGTTTTACAATTATGTTTAACATCAGATTTCATTAAATAACAACAATAATAATACATCCCACATACTCTTCTGTTTTATTATTATAATATCATTACAAGAGTGAAGTTTCTTGCATAAATAATTACTTAAATTATTTATTTATTGTTCCTAAAAGTTGTTAGTTTTCGTGTACAAAAATGTGTACAAACCTTATGAGACTGATTCCAATGAATATAAAAAATAAGAGCTTATATTTTGGAGGGGAAATGCTTATGGTAAAAGATGAGAAATGCATGTTTGAGGGAAATTATAGTAAAGCTCTTTGAATCGCTCTGATTATGTACTATAAAGCTTTTGTGTTGCTAAAAGAAAATTAATATTAGAGAAATTTTGAAAGTTCCAATGTTTTAAAAATACAGAATTATTTGAATTCATACAAGTACATAATTTTTATAATTTATTGCTTAGAATATGCATAAGTAATGTTAATATTCACACAGAAATATGCACAGGAAAAGAGTCACACTAGCATTTTAACCATTTATCAAACCACTGTTAATCCCATTAATCTTTTTTTAAGGTATCAATAACTGTATGTTCAATTCGTAGAATAACACAAAGATGCGGGCTGTTCGAATCAAATGTACCTATATATGCATGGATCTTTATCATGAATAGTTGATCATGGCATAGACAATTCTGAATCTGACTGCCCGATTGACTGACATGGGCTCCGAGCGAAAGCTTGTCGAGCATCTTCCACACATAAATCAAAATCTGAACGGCGATCACCTTCGGATTTTTTCCGTACACTTCCCGTTTCAAGAAACGATTTGTGCCACTTTTTTATGCTGTTAGCTTGTGGTGGATTTCTTTTATAAACTGCCTGAAACATTCTTTGCCACTTTTACTACAGATTTGTGTTCTGCATACCAGTGAACAATTTGTGCCTTATCTTGCGGCGATGCCATTTTCCCGTTTGTCGACTCAGCAAAAGCACAGGTGCATCAGATGAGAAAAAGTAGTATCACCAAACTCTACGAACTCACCTCCCACATGTGGCCAATATCACCCTCATAGCACTAAAACTTTGTTTTTAATTGACTGTTCAAAACAGGTACATTTGATTTGGACACCCTGTATATATCAAGAAATAAATTTTTAGGAGTCTTTTCAGATTTAACAAGACTTATTTTGACTCTTCTGCATGTGGCATTTGTAGTTATATATATATTTCAAGCTTTTACTTTAAAATTCTTAGTTTTTTCTGTATAGTAATCAGTATTAATAAAATCTTCTTTAAGTGCCTTGCACTATATATTAAATCAGCAAAGCAAATTTATTAATATTTTAAATATATATGTATTTCCTTTATAGGATGCACTGCACAAAAGGTTAGAACTCCACAAAAAGAAACAAGAATTTTTAAAATCCCAGATTCAGCATCAAAAGGTATTTTTTACTTTTTTTTTAATTTTTTAAATTTTTCTTTGTGAGACTATTTCTTTGTAAGACTATTTCAATATTAAAAGTGATCTGATAATTAATTGAGTTCTTATGTAGAAGTAAATGTTTGAAATATAGCTGTACTTAACCTTTTATCATGCTACATATGCATGATGGATGCAAATGCTTTGAAGAAAATGGGTGCCATTTGTAAGATTATTTCAGTATTAAAGTTATCTTTAAATATCCCTGGAAATTGATTTGGCTGTGTCACAATAAATGTGTGATAATCTCACTGTAATAAACTGGGAGTTTGGTTCACTATATCTGATTTGATAGGAAAAATGGATTATCTCACAAAAACACATAAAAATTTGAATGATGAATAAAGGAAAAAACTGAATTAATATTGCCATATCTACCAATAGTAGTGAATAATAAATCAAATAAAAAATCTTAAGATTTAATTACTATTATTATCATGAGCAGATATTAAATTTGATTTTCTTCTTTTATATTCTGTTCAAAGTGTTTGGCAAATTCGTTGGTCTTTGTTTGAAGCATTTGTTCAGATATTGGTACAAGAGACTTCGTTGAATGGCAAACCATTTCAGCAATGTTTCTTCAACACCCTTAAACTCTATCTTTCTAAATTTTTTCCTTTTATTCAGATTTTTTCCCATGTTCATTATAGGGTTTCATATTTTTTTAAGTAGTAGTAAATGATATTTGGATAAACTGTATTTCTGGCAGATATTGATTTGGCTGCGTTCATTAAAATTTTTCAAGTAATGTTCACCTCGCTGTATGGATGAAGTTTTTGCACAGAAAAAGTGTGATCAAAGAATAGGTGAGAGTTTTGCTCTTTTGTGAAAATGAAAAGAGAACCACCCAGAGCTTAAATTGCACCAGAGCCTACCGGAGCCTGGCCCCTGTACTTCTTAGTTTTTGGGATAAGTTTCATTTCTAGCCGGAGCACTCCGGAGCCCTAAATAAGAAAGCTTCGGCACTTCTTATATGTAAGTGAACAATCCCGGTAGAAATTTGATCTCGAAAATTTTATTTTTAACAAATCGCTTAGCAAATTTTAATTTCTCTCTCTTTGCATTTTTTCTTTTTGCTTTTTATTTAATTTGAATCATTTAATTACTTTAATTATTCAATTATGAATAAACAATTAAAAGGATCAATTAAATAAAAATAAATAAAACTAATTATTAACATTAATTAAACAATCAAATATCCATAATAATTAAATAAATTATTAATTTTATAATCATTATTCACTTTTAAAATTATTAATGATTTTAATAATCATTTTATTCATTTATTTACACTTGTTCCTCTTTCCTGGCGGTCTTCCATAGGGCTCTGGCACTTCTACTTTTAGAAAATAAGTCCTGGAACCATTTACATGTGATATTTATTTCATCACCTACATGTATTATTTAGTATTTAGTTTCTTCTCTTTTCCTTTTTCTTACCAGAATGCAAATTAGTTTGAGAGTATTTAAGCTGAGCTTTTTGGAATGTAAGACAGCATGTTTTTGCCTCTCAAGCAAATCTACTTTTCAGAGGATAGAACTTGAAGAACATTTGTACTCAAACAAAACAAACCAATAAGGATTAAAAAAAAAAAAAAAAAAAAAAAAAATTCCTAAAAGAAGAATCAATTGTAAAACTACAAAATGTCATTCACCATTTTCTCTTTTCCATTATCACCTATCGCTAGGTTTCCACTGGCTCAGATAAGATTATAATATTCAACTTTGTGTTATAGCTGCCTTAGTTTAAAATTTTAAAGGTGGTGAGAGGTTTTAGCCAAC